TTTTTATTAATCTGGGAAGAATAGGAAGCCCTAAATTTATATTCCTATAGATAGTTATTATTTACTTATTTACTTTACTTTACTTTTATTTTTAACTTTTTCCCCCTTTTTCTTCTCTGTCTATTTATTAATATTTAAACTTCCTACTTACTATAATATTCCGTTAATTTCTATCTAATTACAATTAACCCTTTTACTAAAATCCCCTTTTACTTAACGCCCGCTATGCCCCTGTTAACGCTATGTTATTTCTTAGCTGTCTTATGCTACGCAGGGTACCTCTATACCTAACCAGGGTCTCCCCTTTCACTAAAAGAGTCCCTAACAATAGTAGCTAGGAAGGTAACCTCTTTCCGGATCCCAAAATTCAGATACCGTTTTAAAGTAGCGACGGCTCTTATATACTACTTATTAGCTTCCTAAGCATCTACAAGATAGGAGCAATTAAGCTGCAATACAAAGGTACGCTAGCCGTCTTAGTCCGTAGCTGCTAGATCCTTTAACATTGCCTTGCCTAAAGCTAGAAGCAGTAATAATCCTAAGCTAAAAAGCTAATAGTTACTAAATATAACCCCAAAGAGGTCTTTGCTACAGTTATATGCTTTTGCCTAAATAATACTAGGTACTCTAGCCTCTAGGTAGCCAGGATTTAATATCTAACTTGCCTTTGCCTTTACGTAGTACATTCCTGCATTACAAAGCAGATATAACTAATATTAGTTAGTAACTAGAAAGGCTTCAGGAACTATACTACCCAGTTAGCTATAGAGGTACTTACAATAGGCGCTTTTTTACAGAAGCGTTTAAGGCTTTTCTTTATAGTAGTTTAGCAATAGGGATAACGGCTAATAAACATAATCTTGCATACCTACGTCAAGCCAGTAAGAGTACATATTAATCTAATTTATATTAAGTCTAGCCAAGACACTATCCCAAAATTAGGCTAAGCTTCCCTTAAGTATTTGCAATATAAACGTATTCTTTAGATTATATACTTAGAATAGTAAGCAAGGGTTTTTAAAGTATAAAACAGTATTTCCTTTCTTTATTTATATACTATATATATTTGCTTTTTTTACTACTAATACCTAGAAGTTTACAAGATTTCTAGCAAGGATACTATAGGACAGGCAAAACGCTTGGCTCTTATCTTTAGCAGTCTAACGGCTAGCACCTAGTTTCTCCTGGTAGGCGCAAGACTTTGCGTATAGAAGGTCATATAAGCTAGGTATTTCCTGTTATACGTAGTCCAGGACCGTTTTAAAGATAGCTAGAAGGATAATGCTATTATATAAGTCTTTAAACCGTACTAGGGACAGGCTGTTTACAGAAGCTTTTATATACAATCAAGCTCCGTTAGGAAAAAATAGAAGAATAGAGAAGCAGATACTGGCAGTAGTAAAACTGCCAAGGGAAGTATATCTTATATACGCTAGGTCCAGGCCGTAAGGTTATATTACTTAAGCAGTAGATATATTACTCCTGTAAGCAGGGAAAAAAGAAAGTCAAAAGTAGTTAGGGGTTCGGATAGCGGACAGACTCTTTATACCGAACCAGATACTATTAATATCCTATTGCCGTGTAACTGTTATGGAGCTGTGGTGCAGCGAAGCCTATGTCTTATGTAATAATAGGTATTTAGTTAGTTAGTTAGAGAGGAAGCTTTACTACTGTGGAAAGGAAGCACGAGGATTATAAGCACTATTGCATTTTATAAATATAGTTAGTAATAAAAGAAGGGAATAGCTAATATAGTTAGTATATTCCTAGAGTATTTAGGTATTTTCCAACTTAGTATACTTATATAAACTTAAACCTATTTAAGATATATATTAGTAAGCTTTATTAATCTAGGAGCAGTTAGGTAATAATAAAACTTTAATAAATAGTTATATTAATAGCTAAAAAATGCTTAAAGCATATAATTATATACGCTGCCCTGCTAGCGTAGGAAATCAGGACTACTAGCCATATCTTATTTATAAATTACTTAAAGATAACTGCTAAGGATAGATTTATCTCTATTTACTAACGGTATTAAAGATAGAGTAGACAAAGGCAAAGGCAATAAGGCTAAGGAGCTTAACGTTAGCAAGAAAGCAGAGTTTCTATGCTAAGGCAATTAACTGTTATGCTAAGTAAAGCCGGTTAATAACAGTTACACGGGGATCGATAGGTCTGGCACAGCGTTATTAGTAAGCCTAAAGTTCTTAGATATATTACTATTATCTCTATCTTCTATATAAGTATAAAGATTGCGTAGAGATAATAAGAAGAGTCTTAGTTTAGCCCCAGACTTAGGGCCAGGCTTGCTATCTAGTCTACAGCCCAGTCTAGGCTAAGCTTTATTAGCAAAAATAGGTAAGGCAGGGCTATTATAATGCAAGGTAAGGCCTAAGAATTTAGCTGTAAGTAGAAGTTCTTAAGTAATATTAAACTGCTTAACAATCTATTATGCCTTTATAAGATACTGCTAGTTATGGTATTGTTAAATGCAGAGACGCATCTGTGTACGCAGCGACAAGGCAGGATCCTTCTTAGGACAACCAGGTCTGCAAATAGCATATAGAGATATATTATCTGCTTACAGGGTTGTTTCCTTTACTTGTATTGTTGGCAGCTTGTGCGTCGTTATAATTAGCTAATTAGGGGATAGGGCTTGGCTTCTTTAGAGAACACCAGAAACTAGATAGTTGTTTATTTAGTGTAGGGTAATGCTATCTTGCTGTTTATTACTATATACTGGTAAGTTAAAATATTAGCCTAATATTAAATTTTGGGTAGAAAATATGTATACTAAACAGAGAGCTTCCTTCTCTAGCTGTTTTAATAAGTAGGTTTTGCAGAAAATTCGATAGGTGGCTGCTCGTAATGACAGGTAGATAAGAATTGTCTAAAAGCAAAGCGTTATTTTAAAAGGCTGTAGTATAATATTGCCTTGACCGGTCTCATTCCTGTATAGCCTTATCTACCTTTTCTTACACTAATAATGCATAATGACCTATAGTGGTGTGTATAGAATAAATTTATATAAAGTTAATAACTATACTTCTTAGCTATATAAGTAAAAATGGAATCTTTATTAGACTACTTGCTTATTTTATTTTAGTAATAACTATATTTACTTATAATGTTTATATTTATATAGATAGAGTTCATACCTACTAATTTTGCCTTTTATAGTCTATTTAATATAATATAAAGAGAGCATTATTATAGGTATTAAGTCTTATAATTAGCTCTTTCTATAACGGGATAATTAAGTAAGATTATAAGGCGCGCTATTATGCAGGGATAGGACAGTCTATTTAATATTAACTGCTAATATGCTGATATTATTACGCTGATTTAATAGAATGCCTCTTTTCTTATACTTAAGTTAAAGACTAGTGCAGTAAATTATAGTTTTAGAGAAGAATAAGTGTAATATCTAATATATATACTTCTATATTAAGAATTATAGTATTATATATACTTTATTTAATCTTATAGTTACCTTAAGAAGGTAATAACTACTATACAGTATCTTAAATAGTAGACTTGCTATCTCTCTATAGAATCGACTTAACTTATTTTAGCTGTGAACTATTAATATATTTGCAGGAGCATCTTTATAATATTGTTAGGCAGGATTCTATTCTAACCCTAAGCTTTACATGCTTTTGTATCTCCTTTCGGGTTAAGACATTAAAGTGAATCCAGTATATGCGTTTATTCTTTATTGTATTAGCTCCAGGAGACTGGCAAGGGTACCGTATATATTTAAATGCAATAACATTAGTCGCCGCCGTAAGCCATAAATAAGGGTATAACGTTATTTAGTAAGCAGTATTTTAACAGGCCTAAGTCTTAAACTGGATTAATAATAGAATATAGTAAAGAAAATAAGATAGAAGGTGTAAATTAATATTAAAATGGATTTAGTACTTACTAGTTATTTAATTATGCCTTGGACTACAGTTCTATTTACTTTTTATATACTTGTCCTTTATTGTTAATTTTCGGCAGATTTTAAATGCTATTTTCTAGTTGGCGCTTGAATTTAACAAAGACACTCACGATCCCGCCAACCCTGTCCCTATTTGCACAACTGATCGATGACGACATCCTTGGTGGACTTGTACCCAGAGTACGCTGCTAGCTCAGTGGCAGCGCTTACGGTTCTAAGGAGCATAGGGGGGATGATGCTACCCCTTGCGGGGCCGAGCATGTACCGGGCACTTGGATTGGGGTTCTTTACTTTGGTTTCTTTTAATTGGCTTAGTTTCGGTACTGTAGTTATTGTATAAGTATGGCAAATCTTTAAGAAAGAGGGAAAGGATAGCTCTGTAGCCTTTTAAAGAACCTAAAGATATATATAAATAATTATATTTTTATATTAATAAATCCTTTTAAGCTTAAAATGTTATTAAGTTCTTTTTATAAGTATTTATTAAAGTAAAAAATATAAGTAATTAGTATTAAAGACAGTAAAAACTACTACTATAGAGAGGGCGACTAAGGATAAAGATAGTAATAAAAAGAAGGAGACCGCTAGGGACTCTATAGTAATTCAGTATTAAGTCAGTAAGCTCCTTATTGTGTATTAACAATACAAGCTACTATCTTAACTACTATAAAACGAGTTTCTCTTTACTGGAATTAAACAACCCGATGGATTGTTACAGACTATATACATTACACTAGATCTTATTACAGTCCTTAAAAGGGTAGGAACGTCTATTGGGACACACAAACTGCAATATAGTTAAATGTTTTTAGTGATTGCAATGCCAGCACACCCGCTATGGACAACATTAACGGCAATAAAGGCGTCTGATCAGATTTCGCTTGGCTTGAACTGTAAGTATATTGCATTTAGGTAACAGTAGCAACAGCTAAAATCGGTCTTTAAGGAATTTACTAAATAGTAGCCCTTATATTTATATTTACTTATTTATTTATTGTATTTTCTAAGATTAAACTAGTCTCTTAGACTCCCAAGTTCCAATCAATAGCCTTTATACATCTTGCGCTGAAATAATATTCTTCACAAGTTCTGCTGCACGATCTAAGGCCACTGTGAAACGCTCCACGCTTTTCACTGGACCGACAAAGCACACTTCAACCCTATCGTTTATTAGTATACATTCCAATAGAAGCAGCCCCTGGAATAGACTCACGAGTCATCAAACACAGTATAATTCATCCAGACAGATTCGGGGTGCGGCATCGTGAAGCCTGGATCTTCCGCAAGCTTTGTTTCCACCATGGTTTGCATAATCAACTGCGGGTAGCCTCTCTTCCAGACAGGATCGGAAAACAGTTCTGGCATCTTTTCATCGGTCTGATCTTGTGCCATAATCTCGATCACATCCATCAGTCGGAAGTAGTTTCGACCCTCGGTTCCCTTCGCAATCTGGGCATTGCACTCGCGTGCCGCCTGTAGAAGCTTGGCGCGAGCCTCACTGCGGGGCACAGCGTCGTCAAGAGCAGAGTCACAGAAGTCCATTACTGACTTGAGAACTACTTGCACAATCTCTGGGCGGCCAAGGTGGAAGTGCGCAGTTGATACAGTCTCCCAACTTGCTGGCAGGTAACCAAAGTACAGCCGACTGGCGAGCTGAATTGTGAGGTCAACGGTGGCCTTGATGGGTGCGGAGTGACTGAGAAACAGCCTCTTGCCAAAACAGTTGATGATATGTGGGACGTATTGTTTTGTGGATGTGATGGCAAGGTAGCCTTGTCGGAGGGAGTCGATGCGGCTATCAATATCCTGCGTAGTCACCAAGGGGATCTCCTTGAGGCTGGCTGTATCAACAGCAATGGCACCGTTGCTTACTGTAGCATTACTAGGATCAAAACTGTTGATGGTGTTCTGGAGTCTCCGTGAAAGCTGAGAAACCGTCATAAGATCAATCATGGAGTGCTCAAAGATGGTTGCCGAGCGACCGTTGGCGGTGACAATAATCTGGGTGCATTTGTCGTGCCAGCGGTTGAAAGAGTCCCCGAGATAGCCCGAGCGAACTCGGTCTGCACGTGTAATCGGGCTATTATCGTCAAGACACATGACGAATACAGAGGCTTCTATGATTTCGAGAAACAGTGTATTCCTGCTATCCAAAGAGAGTAGCTTCTGGCGATTCTAAAGGTCTGTTAGTTCGATTTCAAATGGAAGCCAATAGCCACTTACCAAACCCCATGAGTCGCGATCATCGGTGGTCAACATTCCAGCCCAAGACCTCTCTTCTAAGTCCAAATCAACGATTGCTTGGTAAGTTGCTTTCAGCACGTCATATGAAACTGTTGCCTCGGCATGCTTTAGCGGGACTTTGAAGAGATGTCCCTTTCGCAACACAGCAACGTACTCATTGCCGGGATACTTCATCATTTTGTCACAGTCGACGTTTGGCTCTCTTACGGCATTGAAAAGCCAGGACAGAGAATTCCCACAATTAGCCCTGGTGCCGAGGAAGTCAGGTTCCAGCCTACCAGCGTCACGGTCGGCCTTGAATTCACACAAAGCCGTAGTGAGTATAGCCGCCCGCTCTGCCTGAGTGTGTATTGCTGGGCTATCAAAGTGAGTGCCTAAGAAATTTCCAAAGGGTGCCAGCGGGTATCGACGCTTGAGATGCAAGGCCCTAAGAAGTAAATCGGCAATCCAACTCTCCACGTTCGGATTATCGGCTTGGGCGCGCAGCTTATTGTAGAGCCTGCGACCAAGGCTGTCTGGTGCTGCTAAGGCATAGGCTTTGCGGCTGAGCTCTGTGTACTCCTCTCGAGTGTGAGAGAAATGGCCGACGCTGTTGAGAAGATCCTTGACGGCCTCGTCGAGGTCGACAAGTGGATACCTGGGTAACTCTTTGCAAGTCCGGCAACAATGGAAGCCGTGATTAGTCTGAGCCTGCTCACCGTTCGATAAGGATAATTCTTTTGTGGGAGTGCGAATATCATTCGACTCTGATTGCCTAATTTCACCAGGAATCAATTGGGATCGCCGTGCAACTGTGGTCGTGAGGGCTGTGATGCTGCCAGCGCCGCTCAGTTCTGATGTCTGTAGATTAACCTGGAATGTGCGAACCATCCAGTTCTTCAACTCAATACTGACGAGAGAATCCAGTCCGATTGTGGCTAGAGACTGATCGACCCGAATCTCCTCTATCGGTCGGTCAAGGAACACAGCAAACTTGGCCAGTGCAGCGGCTTGGATTAACTGCTCGGCCTCGGCCATGGTCTTGGCACCAGCCAGGGCCTCTGCAAAATCGACCTTGGCGTTTTTGGCGGCGTGACTGGTCTTTTGCTCTACTGTATGTTGTAATTGGTAGAAAATGGGGTTGCCGAGTAGGTAGTCGTCTCCAGCTTCCATCATTGACTGACGCGTTACTCCCTGGATTGATTGGTGTAAGCCGTTCTTTCGAGCATTATCTGTCATGAGGTATTCGAAATTTGCAAAGAACTCATCATAGGAGATATCCATGACACTGTTTTGTCGAAGACCTGCCCTGATAGAACTAATTGATGTTTCATTCTGAGATGTCTCTAATGCGCCGTGGGCATCAATTGAGACTGCGCCAATGTTGAGGGAGGCATAGTGAGTATGAGGGTGGTTTGCGTGAGCGCGAGCGAAGCCATCTTGGAAGCCATTACCAGCTGCGTAGTTCGACTGACCAGACTTGCCAATCACTGACACAATAGATGATAGTGCCACGAAGAAGGCCAAGTCTGAGCTGGCGAAATACTTGTTAAGATTGATGGTTCCAACAATTTTGGGTTGGAGCGGCTGTTTCCACTCATCGGCAGTCATTTGGGAAAAGGTTCGGTCCTAGAAATGGTCAGAATATCTATTACATTAGTCCATTTGGATAATATTAGCCTACCTTCAAAGCCAAAGCGCCCTGCACAACACCTCTGACTGGAGGCAGCGCCCTGCAAAATGAGGCAGCATTCATCATCTGCTCCTCGATGGTGATGTCACATTTCAGTAGGTGGAGCTGGCTACCATGTGCTTCGACTGCCGCCACATGCTTACGTCTCGTCTCATCGTCGATGGTGCGTCGTGAGAGGGAGACAATATGCCCGGCTCCACGTGCGGCGAAAAAGTGACATATCCGTGAAGGTAGATCGCCAAGACCTCCTGCTACGATGTAAGTTCCATCTTTTCGGAGTCGTAGAGGTGTTGGCTGCGTTGGTATACATTTGACTCTCGAAGTAGACTGTGCCACGAGAACAACTTTTCCTATGTGCTTTCTAGCACTCATAAGGCGGAAAGCATCCTCGACCTGCTCGATGGGATAAAGCTTGGCTGGTTCCATCGGAAAAAACGCTCCTGATCCAACAAGCTTGACAATCTCACTAAGAGCCCGGTATATCTGGTCAGACCTTCGTGTAGCCAGAGTCATCAAATCAAAGGCATGGAACGTGATTGACTTTTCAAATGCAGCCGTACTCAGAAGAGAGGCTTTTTGCATCTGCGGTTTGGCCAGATCAATAAAGACGCCCAAACTTGTGACACAGTCAAGGCTCTCTCTTAGCATCTCTCCCGTTGATGTGCTCAGCACAAGATCTACACCCTCACCGCCTGTAAGGTGCATAACAGTCTGTTTGATTGAACCAGAACAGCTAGAATAGATGTGACTTTCTGGGATACCGTAGTTATCTGTGAGGAATTGCCGTTTCTCGGTGTTTTCAACCGTGCAGAAGATCCCGGCCCCAATGGACTGTGCAAGTTGAATTGCTGCTTGCCCAACCGCTCCGGACGCAGAATGGATTAGAACGGTTTGTCCTTTCTCGAGGTTCGCCAGCTTCCGAAGACATTGGTACGCAGTCACATATGCGCAGGGTACTGATGCCGCTGTAGTGTTACTCATACAGTCGGGCGTTTTGTGGGCGAGGTGTCCTTTGACACGTGAGAGGTTGCTGTATGGCTGAGCACCAAAGCCCATGACCCTGTCTCCCACCTGAAACGAGTCTCTCATATCTATGCCGACGTCTGTTACTACTCCTGCGAATTCGCCGATCATTTGCGCATTGGAGTGGGTTTGTCCGAGGGCCACGCACACATCTCTGTAGTTGACACCGTAGGCATCGGGCTTAACCTCGATCTGGTCAGCTCTCAATTCTGGCAACAAGTCACTATCCACGAATCGGAGAGAGCTCAGTAAGCCGGGAATACCGACTTCGAGCTTGAGAGCCCGGTCACCTTGATGAAGAGTGACCTTTGTATGTGTCATGGCGGAGTCATTACAGCTGCTACGAGCCCATTTCAAAAACGTAGCATCTGGCAATACCCGAGGGATCAATAGGTTGCCGTTCTCATAGGCGATCTCAGGCTCCAGAGCCTTTTCATCATGAGTGTCTGGCCAGAAGCAATTCTGTAGGACCCAAGCTACTGCGTGCCCAGCCACCTCAGTACTGGGAGCTGGATCACGGATGTCGAGGGTGATGAACCCCGTGTTGCCACTCTCGCGACGGAGGACTCGTATAAAAGCACTTACTACTCCCTTGTATGCCGTAGATACTGGATCGGGAGTATCTTGAGTGACGACCCAGAGTATCTTGGCTTTCGATGCGAGAAGAGCGTTGATTGTCGTGAATAAGTGAGGCTGAGGGTCGAGGAGTAGAGGAGCCTCAGCGCGATCAACAACCAAGTAAAGCGTGTCTCCACTGATATCTACTTCATCCCAAGTACACTCGCGTATCCGAGCATTGATCCGCATAGGCTTGAAATACTTGGAAGTCTCGACAATCTTATCATCGGCCACGTTTTTAATGAGTGCAATCTTCTTGTTTCTTACACTGTGTCCGTTGGTCAACGGGGCCACAGCTTTGGAAACCATCATGCTATTGCGTGCGACATGTATTCCGCCAAAGCCTTTTCTTGATAGTATTGTATCCCATTGCTTTCTATGCATCAGCGCAGTGTCCTCTCGGAACTCGTCGTCGTGTGCCCACCACCCAGATAGGGTGCCAAATATGAGACCGATAACGGCGCCTTTAGGTGAGTTCTCGACCAGGATAAGGCTTCCGCCGGGGCGGAGAAGCTTTCGCACGTGCTCCATTGTGACATCCATTCGCTTCGTCGCATGCAGAACGTTCGATGCCACGATAACATCATATGATTCAGGCTCAAAGCCTTGTGCGATAGGGTCGCCTTCGACATCCAGCGTCTTGAAGTCCATATAAGATTCCCAGTCAGCAAAGGCGCTGCGTGCTTTTTCAAAGAAGCCGCTTGATATGTCCGTGTACGTGTACTGGTCTATGGGAAGGCCGCCACCACTGTTTCGATCAACAATACCACCGAGAAGTCGCTTTGTGCAGCCGCCCGTCCCCGCACCAATCTCCAGAAAGCGAAGTCTTGGATTCTTGAATGTGAGAAGCTGAAGATACGCAACTGCGGCTTCATAGTCACCACTGAAAGTTCCACCCTCGTAGGCTCGTATCAGCAGATTCCCCTCCAGCATAACACTCAATGGATCGGATGTTCCGCTGAGAATTTCGGGAAGGGCTCTGCCAACGCGTGCTAGTAGTTGCAGCTCGGGTGACTCGGTGAGGGAGTCAATACGCTGCAGTACACTGACTTCATCCTCGAAGCCTAGCCCTGACATGATCTGGCTGTAGTAATCCGAGTTGACCCACTTCTTCATCCATCCAAGATACTTGACTAGATGAGGGCTCTTGATCTCAACGCTGTTGGTTTCGACGTATTTTAGTGCGTCCCTGATCCAGATGGATGCTGCCTGGTCAGCCACACGGTAGGTCTCTTCAGCCTCGATGGCAGATACTTTGTTGCCTTCATAGTCGTATGTCATGTTCTCATCCAAGTCCATTGTGACAGAGAGGAACTGGGAGAATGAGGCCTCTGTGATAAAATCTGCGTCCAGGTTCCATTCCAGCCGATTGACTTTATCATGGATAAATGGACGGTTCTCATCTTGATGCGCCTCGCCGATTGCTCTCAGGTTAACCAAAAGTTTAATGATTGGTCTGAGCTGGCCATCCCCCTCCTCTTGGAACACCCAAGACTGGCCTGTAGATGCTTTTGGACCATCGGGTTCGATCTGCATGGCGGCAGTCAGGCTTTTGCCTGGTTGTGTTGAGATGCTGGCATCAATTTCCAGCAACGTAATCTTGGTAGGAACACAAGGAGCATTGGACACAAACTTCTTGAACAGCATACCACTGAGTTGGTGAACAGCGTCCAGGGTGATTGGGTGAATGAGGTGAGGCCTGAAGGACCGATATGGCATCAATGCAGCCACGTCTGGAATGGTGATGTCGAGAAGGCCTTGTTTGTTGCCATATTTGAGAGAATTAATCGGGCTGAATGCCCCGTCCCATTGGTTGCCCGTCAGCTTGGCGAACTCATAGAACTCGGCCTTGGTCATCTCCATATCACAGCTCTGTCGAGCAGCATTAAGGAGCTGCATCGACTCTTCTATCCGCAGATGTGACTCTCTTGATCCATTCACCTCATCTTGCTTGTCGCTTTCATATTCCACCGTAATCTCACCCTTGCAGTTTTCGGTCCATGATTCGTTGGCGCTGTCATATGACCAAATTCGGAATGTTTGCCAGCGACTGCCTTCGTATTGTTGTGACGTGGACATACTCAGTTGTACTTCAACTTCGCCTGACTGCTCGTCATTGTCCGACTCGTTGAGGACAAGAGACTTGGAAATGATCACATCGCGAAGGATGAATCTTGAAATCGACCGCTGAGCATCTCTCAGCTGTACAAGCTGTTTCATCGCCTCAATAGCCATGGTAAGATATCCTGCACCTGGATATAATGTAAAGCCCTCGACGACATGGTCGCGTAACCATGGCAAGGCGTCCAAGTTGATAAGGTATCTCCAGTGCGGCTGTTGAACAGTGCAAGATGGATCTAGCAGGCCAAGTAAGTCATGTGGTGGAAACTTGCGAAAACGGTGAGCTTTGCTGAGTCTGGATTCATGCCAGAATGGTGCAAGGTCCCAAGGGTACGATTTCAAATCCCAGATGATTTCAGGCTCTTGTGCGTTGGTCATTTTGAGCACAGCTTCCAGATTGATATTGAGGCCTAGCTCAAAAGTCTTGCCGGCGAGGGATAGGACTGTCTGTACAGCGTTCTTATGGCGCACTAGAGCAGAGAAGTATTCAAATTTGAACTTTGGGCCTCCTGGTTGTGTCAGTGTTTGACGGCAAGGGCCTGCTAGAGCTGAATGAGGACCAATTTCAATGAAAACGCTTGTGTCCATCCCCGGTTTATTTCTTAATTGATCATCTCTCAGCAAAGCCAATGCCTGGCTGAACTTGACCTGGGATACCAAGTTGTCGCCCCAGTAGTCAGCACCAAATGATGTTGTCTTGGTTGTGCCAGTGACACTTGAGTAGAATGTAACACCGCTCCGAACGTCAGAGGACTTCACACTTTGCATTGCCTTCTGGTAATGCTGTGCGATTCGCCGCATGTAATGCGAGTGATAAGCAGTGTCAACTCTGAGCTTGCGGGCAAAGATTCCCTCGGCGTCGAGCAGAGACTTCAGCTCTTCAATTGCAGCCAGGTCTCCCGAGATTGTACTGCTCTCCGGGCTGTTCACACATGCTACACTGATCGTCCCAGTCGTGACCATATCAATGTATCGCTGCGCTTCAGCCTCTCCGAGACTGACAGCCATCATTGAGCCAGGCACGGCAGCCGATGCTTTGGCCATCGAGGACGCCACACCACGATGGTAGGCACTATTATAAGTCAGGAACATGATCTCGTAGGTGATTTGATTGACTTACACAATCACAGCGTTATCTCGGCTCAAGGCACCAGCAGCATACGCAGCAGCAACTTCACCAGAGCTGTGGCCAATCACCTGGCTGGGCCTTATAGAAAAGCTCTCTAGTAAATCCACGAGCGCAATCTGAATAGCTGTCGTTGCAGGCTGGGATATCTCAGCCTCGCCGATCCGCGACTGACTGGTGGCCTTGAGCAGCTCGTCAATGAGACGCCAAGAGCCTCCTTCCCGCCGTATAATATCCTCCATAGCCATCATTGACTGACGGAAGCACTGTGACGAGTTGATGAGTTCGCGACCCATCGCATGCCATTGCGCACCCTGTCCGGAAAAGACAAAAGTAAGCGGTGCAAGAGAGGTCGCTCTCTTTGGATGAATTATGTGGTCTAATTCTTCCAGCAGCTCCGCGGATGATGATGCGACGATAGCACGGCGGAATGAAAGAAGAGATTTTCGAGCACCTAGAGTGTATGAAAGGCTGTGTAGAGTCTGGGGACTCACTAGGTGGGCAGTTACCCACTGCTTGGTATTCTCAAGGGTTGATAGTAAAGCCTTCTCTGTCGATGCACTAAAAAGAAACAATTGCGGAGTAAAGCTGACGGTAGTAGTTCCGTCAGTAGGAGCTGAAGATCCGTTCAAAGACACCAACTGATTGGTCAAGTGTCCATAGGTGGCTTGATTACAAGAACATTGGCCATTCTGATCAGTGGATGTCCCATTAGTGTTCCCTGCAAGCTTGTGTTTGGAACCTGAATCCTCAAGAATAACATGACAGTTAGTTCCTCCATACCCAAAAGAGTTGACAGATACTCGAGCCGGGGCATTGTGCTGTGGTATTGGCAGCTTTGTAAGCTCACTCGGAATCTATTAGTGTGTTAGAGGGCGTTTGCTTTGTTGAGTGGCTTGGAGGTGCGTGCCTTTATTTTCTTTTCATATAGCTTGAGGGACGGCTTTGGTTTGATGAAATTGAGGTTAGCAGGAATTTGGCCGTGTTTGAGAACGAGTATAGATTTCAACAAGCCAGCGATACCAGAAGTGGCTTCCAGGTGGCCGATGTTGGTCTTGACTGAGCCGACGTATAGGTCATCTCTTCTGTCAGATCCTTCGCAGAAGACTTTGGATATCGATTCTATCTCCTGGCGGTCACCTGCTTGCGTTCCCTAATTATTCTTCTTAGGTTGAGCCTTTTTTGCGACATGCCAAGAGACTTACAGTGCCGTGTGCCTCGACGAATGACGTGTCAGCAGGATTCAGCCCAGCCTCTTGGTATACGCGGAGGGAGAGAGCTGCCTGTGCTTCGCTGCTTGGGGTGTTCAAGCCTGGCGTTTTGCCGTCTTGATTCACGCCCGAATTGGCGATGATGGCATGTACTCGATCACTGTCATTTTGGTAAACACACGAAGTGGCTTCGAGGATTCACGACCTACCCAGCCTTGAGCGCGTCGTCCAAACGCTTGAGTACTATGGTGGCAACCCCTTCTCCGCGTCCGTACCCAGCGCCTCTCGAGTCGAAGGCATAGGACTTTCCATCTGGATTTAGCATCCCCATGCCACTCACTATATGGATGTCAGTATAGTGTTTGTGTCTGGCTTACGATTATCAGGCAGTGCAGGTTGAAAAGAGCTTACTTATGCTTAAAACGTCTGGTTGAATGACAAGCTGCGAGCCACCGACTAAGGCGAGATTCGACTCGCCCAATCGAAGGCTGTGACATGCTTGATGCAGACCAACGAGACTACCAGACTAAGTAAAGTCAATAAAGTATTCATCTGTCATGCCAACTCAAGAATTACATACGCAGCCGGTATCGATCGTCATGCATGGGCCCCGCAGGTCAAAACAGTACGATATACGGTTTGATAGAACTGCTATGGTGTGAGCTGCAGTACAATCACAGCCCTTATAGGCAAGTGATATTGACTTACTAGACTCGCCCGTTCCGTTCAAGTGTGTCCTACCAATTGTAGACAGGTCCTTGTGTCCCATGCGGTCGTAGCTCCTCTCGAATATGCTGGCATAAACGCTAGTGTTGGAGCCACGCAGGGTTTCAGCGGGTATGCCAGCGTCTTCGAGTGCTTCATACGTCGTCATGAGAAAGAGACGTTGTTGGGGATCCATTGAGTTTGCTTCTGCGCTGGAAATGCCGAAGAACTTGGCATCAAACTGGGCAATGTCATCCTGGAGGAAATACCCGTGTTTGGTCACCATAGACTGCTTCGCATCTGGATAAGCATCGAACCACGAATCTGCATTCCAACGGTCTTTTGGAATCTCCATCTGACCATTGCGGCTCTCCGACAGCAGTTCCCATAGCTTGTCTAAGTTGTTAGCTCCACCAGGAAGCCTACAACCAACGCCGATGATGGCGATTGGGGCTGGACGGTTCACGATTTGAGTCATGATGTTGGTACGGTGGCAATTCGATGGTTCCAAATTTTGTGATACACGAAGGACTATCAAGACGCTCTACCTATACCAACTTTTTCGTTCTCACACTTTATAACTATATGATCTCTCAACGGGACTGGTATCTACTTCGCAAGCCTTGGGGCTCCCCCTCTTCGAAGGATTCAGGCTCGTCCCGTCCCTGCCGAAACAAAACATCCTTCTATCTCAAGAGCCCGATCTTTCACCGTTTCGCCCATTGCAACACAAAAATAGGCTAAATTGGTCGGCATTTAATTACCAAGATCCGAAGTTCATCTCATAATGAGATCATCTCGGAGATCTGGTGGCGGCGCGGCTCGTTGATGGCTGTTGTGCCGATCTAGGTAAAAACGGAATCAATGGCCCCTTATGGCCAGGCGTAGGATCATGGAGACATGAGTTGGTTGCTCGGCTCGGAAAAGCAGAAACAGGTACAGCATAGTATTTAGCCTGCCAATAGCAACTCGAAGCTACTTATCAATTCCGAAGGATCGTGGGGTTACATCAGCTAACGCGAGACTAGAAGTTGACGCTCTATTGGCCAGTGGTGCAAGAGCCGCAGGACTGTGCCTCACATAAGCCAGATCCTACAACTTGCTTGCCGTCTTAGGTTCTGCATCCGAGAGGTCGGCTAAATGCTCCTCCACCACGGTCCAGGTCTCGGGCGGCAAGATTGCCATCATCCACGTATTGCCCTGGCCATCTTTGCCACCCACTTGGAACATGTTGCGAATGTGCGTATTGTGCTCCAGTGACGTCCACTGGTGCCATGCAATCTTGCCTGGAGACTTGCCATGACCGACTGCAGCGGGGGTAATGACAGCGGGGGAGAAGTCGATTGAGTCGAAAAAGCCCATTTTACTGAAATTGGACACGACCAGGATGAAGGCGTCTTGGGCGGCAAATACGGGTGGGTTCTCCTTGTCTTTCGCGTATGTCTCCCTCAGGAGATGCAATTGAGCGTGGACTTGAGGGGCCTTGGTCAGCGTCGCCACGGACTCTCTCACCAAGAGGGCTGTTCTCGCCAGTGGCTGTTGCCGAAGCGCTTGAAGCGTGGTATTGGTCGAGGTCGAGAACGTTGCATTGGCGATGAAGACGGGGCTTGAATCTGGCTTGTCCTTGCGTTGAGGGAACGTTTCTGGTAAGCAATGTCTCGCCTCATACATGCCCATCACATGAACCGGTCGATCCGATACAGGAAGGACACCGCAGCAGAGACGCGCTGCCCATGCAGCCAAAATATCGGCATCGCTAACAAATTGTCCGTTAAAGAGGGCTCCCTTTGGAATGACTTCGAGTTTGTCCGACCCGTGGCCTCCGATAAAGTCCATCTTGATCCTCTGTAGAGTATTATCTGGCAGCACGAGCATGCGTCGCACCGATGTTGGGTATTTTGCAACGTGCTCCAGGTAGGTTTCGTATGTCTTTTCGAAAGCCTGAGGGCTCAGCTGCATATCAGCCAGTGCGTAAGGTTCCTTAAGAGGCACGGATCCAATGTTCTTGAGAGGGTCGTCGTATGCACCCATGAAAGGCGGGATATCGTCGTACCGTCCGTGAAGACTCGTGGACCACGCCAGCACCAATGCTTTGATTCCCATGAAATCGCACACCACATGAACCCAGCGGATACTGATCAGTGTTACATCGCTGAAGAGAGCTATGTGAACACCAATAATGGGCTCTTGACGACGAATGTGTTCAGTAAAGTCAAGCGCCCAATCAGGACCAAGTGTTAACGGGTTGAATTGCGAAGTGATACCAGAAAACAATTCTGGCTTGCCTTTTGCCCTCGGAAGGTGCTTTGCAATAGGATGGTCCGTCGTTTTTACCGAGAAAGTCTCCTCTGAAAATTGAAACGCTGGGCGTTTGTGACTATATGTTCTTGGGGCATGGATCTCAAGCTTGCCGACTTTATTGAACTCCAAGCGGCCGCCTAACTTTCTCCAATCACCTAGGCTGAGAAGATGCGTGAGAGCTGTGCACAGCTTCTCTGTGTCTAGGATTGCATCGAAGCGCAGGGTCCAGTGTTGCATATACCGATTGATAGTGGAGTCATCGAACTCATGCAAGGGAAACACAATGTCAGTTGTGGACATTTTTTGCAGGATGAGAGCAGTGGTATTTGGAGAAGGCATTGAGTGACTGCAAGACAAGTAGTAAGATATACTCTCAGAGGCGATAAAAAGGCTAAACTACCTACCCTGCATACCCAGCAGGCTCCGCATTTTCTCCATCTCTACCATTAAATCCGGAAAATAATAAGTCCGTCTGTGGAACTTTAGCATCGCTTCTGCAAATCCCCTGCATAACATGGCTTGGGTCACTTTTGGGTAATAAGCTCTAGCTAGTAATACAGTTTATACGGATTAAAGCTTACAGAGACCTTAAATTTCTTAACCTGCCCTTGTAAAGGGGGGAAGTTTTTAGATAATCTACACATCTATAATATTTAATATTAGCTAATTGTACCCATTAGACATTGACTCTCCATCGAATTACAATCTGCGTATAAAGTCGCTCAGCTAATGGCAATTTAAGACATTTACAACGAAGGCGCACAATGTAAGCATCATCTACTAGACTAGGTCTGTCAATTCAAAATGACACTCTCAAAAACCCACTTCAGGCAACATACCAATTGCCCTTATAGTTATCCACCCAGACATAGGCAGAAAGCCTCTGGCGTGATGTTTAAAAGTAATACTATTAATGAATTCTAGGGATATAATGCTCCCCACGAACATTTTCCTTAAAAACTTGGCAATTTCCTAGTGGAGATAATGTTCTCTACTGTATATTGTCAGTCTTCTTAATATAGTACAAACATTATGAGGAGCTACATTGTTACAGCGTCTCTCTTAGGATCGGTAGGCATAGCCTCGGTAGCCGGATTTCCTTCGATGGTTATGGATACATGGTGCATTACATACATGTCTACCTATCTTGCCCCAATTTCTTCTCAGCCCGGTTTGTCACCATCAAGACAATTGACGTTTTTCGGAAACAGTTCAACGGCAACGATCTTGAGTAAGAATCTTTTATTCTTTCTAAATTTGAAATGAGTGTTGACAACGCGACAGAAACGGATGATCAGAGAGTTATTGTTTCGGAGTCTGGTACGATGTTTGGCTTAACGACTTTGGATATGTCACCTACTCACGCGCAATCTGACTCTGAGGCGCCTTTCTCTGGCCCCGTCACTGGATTCTTGACTGAGACAATTGATGTGCCTTCAATGCCTGTAACGGATATCCCCTCTTCCGCCCTTGCCACCTCCACCGGTATTGTCGAACCACCCGGACGATCCGTCATCTTCCTTGTCCAGGCATCCAGTTATCAGGAACGCAACATTCAGAAACGAGAAACTGGAGGTTTTGTTGGCGCTGATAACCCTGACTTTTGCACCTTTGCTTTGACCTTCAACATGGGGGACAGCCAACTCTTTGTTGACGATTTACCGATATTTTATGCTGGTGAGGATTACAAGGCCCTGGGCATACAAGAAGAAGACTCTTTTGTCCAGGGCGCTACTACGAGGACCTTTGGAATTTCTGGCGGAACACTCTTCTTCGAGAACTCAGGCCTACCAAATGGTGAGGCGGGTTTCTGTCAGGACTCGAGTGGTCAAGTGTACATCACATTTACTACTAGTCCTCCTGGATGTGTCTCAGTTACTCTGGAAGTTTATGACGGTGACACTACCCACGCTTGCCAAGTTTTAAATGCTAATTTGGATGCAGTTACCGAATGCCAAAATGGTCGGCTTGTGGGATTTGAGACTTCGACCTCTGCTTTGGCAATCTCCACCGAGGCCAGCACGACTGAGACAGGCGTAGCTGAGAATGTCAGTTCCGGAGTTTTCAGTGGCAGAGATAGCGGAGAGCCTACAACAGCAGAAGCAACCGTATCTACAGAGTTCAGTGCTCTCAGCTCTTCTGACCCGAGTGGTACCTTCTCCAAGTCATCTGGTTCTAAAGCATTCACCACTCCTTCCTCCCAGATTATTAATACATCTGCGTTGGCCTCTTCACCAATATTCGGCTCTGTATCATCCGCCGTTTCTTCTCGAATTTCTGAGACACATACCTCAGCCTCTTCTTCCGTATCTGGTACTGCAGCATTTTCCACCGTTTTCCCCCAAGGTATTAGTTCAACTGCTTCAGCCTCTGGCCTTGGAACGTCAACTATCGTTTCTACCCAGATTGGTGAGACACCTACCTCAGCCTCTTCTTCTATATCTGGCACTGCAGCATTTTCCACCGGTTTCCCTCAAGGTCTTAGTTCATCTGCTTTGGGTACTTCTGGTCTTAGAGTGCCCACCACGATTTCTTCCCAGATTGATGATATATCTACCTCTACCCCTTCTTCTGTATCTGGTACTGGATCATCTTTCACTATTTCCCTAGAAGCTATCAGTTCATCTGCTTCAGCCTCTGACCTCGGAACCTCAACTATCGTTTCTACCAAGATTTTTAATACACCTGCCCCAACCTCTTCGCAGACGGAGACGCAGACATTCGGCTTCTTGACATCAACTATTCTTTCTTCCGAGCTTACCGAATCCTCTGCCAGCTTGGAGTCATCCATTCTCTACAGCGAATCAAACACTGAGGTATCATCATCCACAGAGGCATTGTCGTCTGCTAAGGCATTGTCGTCTGCTAAGGCATCGCCGTCTACTGAGGCATCATTACCTACTGAAGCATCATTATCTACTGAGGCATCATTATCTACGGAGGCATCATTATCTACGGAGGCATCATTATCTACGGAGGCATTATCGTCTACCGAGATGGAGGGATCAAGTCTGCTCACAACCACGTCGAATGAGCTAACCGGCGCGACCTCTGCAACCTTTGGCTCGACCTCAGAGACCTCGCCAGAGCCAACTAGTTCAGACAGTTTAGACACGTCCTCAAGCGCTGAAGAGACAACTTCAGATACATCGACAACAATCTCAAGGTCTTCAACAGAAATCACAACTACAAGTACAGAGGCTAGTACTACCACTACAGAAGTCATGACGAGTACAACTACTGCAGCACCGCAGAGCGAGTGCCAAAGCGCAAGCAGTCCATACACCGTCCAGGGTGTCGACTTTGATCTCTCTTGTGACGGCGTTATTATAGGCGGTACTTCGGTGGGAGTAGCTCCGGCAACCGATTTCAACCAGTGTGTGTATTTCTGTGCTGTTTATTCTGCCTGCGTTGCTGTGCATTATGAAAGGGCGACAGGGGCCTGTAGCGGATTCAGTTCAATGACTGGAACTTCCGCGAACGCCAACTTTGATGCTGCTATACGTAGCTGACCTCAGCCACTAACACTACTGAAGATAATCAGTCTGATATTGCAATCGAAGTGGTGGTTATAGCCACTGCTTGAGCGACCACAGCTGCCCTGTACAAATGCGGCTTCTGGTTGCAGTAGCCTTAACCACCTTTGTACAGTTAATGGGATAATATTTCTTGGTGTTGGACATTTCCTTAGTATTTTGTCATTAGTCTTTTGTCATTACCCTTTCCCCCCCACCCTTTATACTGGGTAATTCTGATGCTGTATTTAGATCAGCAGCTATATCTGGGCTCTTCCTTCAACATTCCATTAGATACCTCGTGTTCAAGATTATCAATATCATTTTCATAAAACTCTAGACTAGAAAAATCTCTTCAAATACAAAAATCTGAAGGATTCATCACTCCACAAGCTCACAGGGGGCTTCGGACTACTTAACTCAAAGCGTATAGATACACCCGATGATCGATCGGTGGATGAAACGCTGCCCCATTTCCGAGCACAAAAATGGGTCTTTTTGAATCACATATCCATTATGTCGGTAATATAAGCCCCTCCCGTCAGCGCAGTTCTTTTTACTTTTACTTTTATCTTGCAGACTCTCGTCAGCATGGAGCAAAATTCAGTGTTGCCATGGGCCAATATTACAGCTGCTGTGTTCCAGACCATTGCTTATCTGGTCGTTATTTGGATTGCTTATCGTATGGTACTGGTAATTTACAACATCTCGCCATTACATCCTCTGCACCGCTTTCCCGGGCCCAAGATTGCTGCAGCGAGTTATCTGTACGAGGCATATTATGATTGGTGGCGAGTAGGGCGATATGGACACGAAATCCGTCGCATGCACGAGCGTTATGGTAGGGTTGACGGTTCTGCCCTCCAGAAATTGACTGTTAACAGAATTTGTTAGGTCCAATTGTGCGGATAAACCCGGATGAACTACATTGCTCGGACCCGTACTTCACGGACGAGATCTATGCTGGGCCCGGCCGAATCCGCGATAAATGGCAGCACCAGCTGAACACGGGGGGCGCTGGTCCCGTTTCTGTGACTGGTTTCTCAACAGTCAATCACGAAATTCACCGCATGAGGAAAGGAGCCTTGTCTAAGTATTTCTCTCGCCAGCAGATGCTCAAGCTCGAAGGCGAGGTGATGGAGTTTGCACAGATGACTGTTGACAAGATGCTTCGATACGCTGGTGGAGAGCCTTTTGACGTGAAGGAAGCCTTTAACTGCTTTACGGCAGATATCATGTCTCAGTACGCTTTTGGTGAATCCATGGGCTTCATCGCTCAGGATGGTTGGGAACCGAATCTGGCTACTTGGGTCAAGTCTTTCTTCCAGAGCGCCTACATGATGAGACATAATGTCTTTGCAAGGAAGATGGCTCAGCTTCTTCCGTTCCTGTCTGACTACTTAGGTGAGGACATCAAAGCAGTCATGAGACAGATGAATGTTGTCATTCCAGGGTATATCGCGGCTGCCTTGAAGAACCCCGAGGGAGGAAGAGTTTTCGCCGATGTGATGGAGTCAAAAGCATTACCAGAGTCGGAGAAATCCATGTATCGGCTATCGGGAGAGGGGTTCAATTTCCTCCTAGCCGGCACCGAAACTACTGCCGTAAGTAGTTGCTGTTTATTTCGTATGGGACGTTGATACTCACAGATTTGAACAGGCCATTCTGACGGTCATCACCTACTATCTTCTGGCTCAGCCTCTGACATATAGACGATTGATGGCCGATCTCGAAGGGATCGACCCACAAACCCTCAAGTGGACTGAGCTCGAGCAACGTCCTTACCTCTGGGCCGTCATCCATGAAGCTCTTCGTGTGATGCCTGGTGTATCCCACCGTTCAGCCAGGATTGCCCGCGAAGAAGATCTGTTTTACACAAGTAAGGATGGTAATGTTGAGTGGGTGATTCCAAGAGGCACTCCCATTGGAATGACTTCAATGATCAATCATTGGGATAAGGAAATCTTTCCCAATCCGGACGAGTTCACACCAGAGAGATGGTTGGCGGGAGGGAAGCCTAACTTCAAACTACAGAAGCTCTTGATTGCCTTTGGCAAGGGTAGTCGTGCATGCATTGGTGAAAAGTAAGTTGCCGTTTATCTCTCTCCCAGTTCTGTGTTAACGACTTTTCAAGCCTCGCTTATTGCGAAGTCTATATCATGGCAGCTTTGCTCGCTCTTCGAGTTATCCCCAGGGCGCGTCTATATGAGACAACAATTGATGATATCACATACGACCATGACTTGATTGTAGTTCAAACAAAGAAGGGTTCTATATCCGTCCGTATTGCTATCTCAGAAGTCGTAATCTAGGCAGAGGAGGTTGGACTGAAGCTTCACACTACAAGTACCACCAATAGAGACTAGCTGCAGCTGCATAGGTGAACATATTTCTCTCACCGAAGCTGATTGGACCAAACAAAAGGCCTAAGCATGTTCGACTTCTGTAACTGCACTCTTCATCTGAGCTTGGCTCTTGGCGATGCCAGCAGCAGAGTTCTGGCCATCGAACAAAACGGCAATCTCTTCCAGAGTAGGACCTTTTGTCTCGACGAAGAAGAAGTAGATCACCAGACACTCAATAACCAGGCTGCAACGCGATGTTAGTCCAGTCAATGCGTTGACGCAAGTGAGTAGTGACTTACATGACTATATAAACAAAGTAAAACTTCCAAGCAAGCTGCTGCAAGCCAAGAGGATTCACCCACTGGTTAAATACCCCTGAGAGAGCTGTAAAGCAGAAGCAGAGGGTAAGCCCTTTGGCCCTGATGTTATACGGCAGGATCTCAACAGTATAGGATACAGTCAGGCCCGGCCATGCAGCACCGGCCACGCCGTAGAAGAGGAAGATCATGGCGACGACGGCAATACCAGCAGCTGATGACTCAGTCTTTGCGTAGACAGCGCTGCATGCAGTCCAGATGGTGAAGGATATAAGCATGCCGACGCCAGCGAAGAGAAAGAGAACCCTTCGTCCAACACGATCGACAAAGAAGGCGGCGAAGAGGGAGACGAGCCAGCACCAGATGGTAAGCCCACCGTTGATGTATGCTTGGGTGACAGCACTGGGATTTGTTAGTATCTCTCCATAGCTCCTCTGCATGCATTATCACTTACTCCGTAATGCCAATAGTTTTCAGAATGGCGGCAAGCTACAGCCAAAGTCAGTTCATACTCTCAGTAGCCTTGTATCCTGCATTCCACTTACATAGTATGAGACAAGACCATTACCACTGCACTGAGAGAAGATCGCAGTAGCAATAATCAGCCCGCATCGCTTTCGGTTACCTGGGGTGCGCCAAAGCTCTGCCCATCCATTATCTGAAGACTCACGCTCAAGTCTAATGGTGTTGACGATCTCTGTGTATTCCCATCTGACAAACTCATCGTTATTGTCGCCGTTGCCATGGTACTTGACAAGGATCTTGCGTGCTTCCTCCTCGCGTCCTTTACTGATCAACCATCGGGGGCTCTCGGGGACAATGAATATGGCCAGAAGCTGGATGCCAGGCATGAGACACTGCAGTCCTGTTGGAAGAACCCATTGGAGATTTCCAGTCTGGTTTCTTAGAGTTCCAAAGCATACCCATGCCGCGATGATGCTACCGAGATACCAAAGCGTGTTATAAACGGTCGTAATCTTGCCTCGATGGCGGGGATGGGCGATCTCGGTTATGAGGAGAGGGCAAGTCGCGTTGGAGATGTTGGAGCCACAGCCCATGATGAATCGGCCGACGAGATATAGCGCATCGCGTCGTGGTCCGTGACCCTTCTGGGGAAAGCATTGCACAAGGGCTCCGACAATAACAATTACGCAGCCAATAGCAGTGCCTTTCTTTCGACCCAGTCCGTCGGCAACATATGGAGCGAAGAGAAGGACAAAAAGACCTCCGAAACCGGGCATGGCGCCAAAGATACCCAGTCGACTTCCTTCTGGGTGATCAAAGACTATACCACCATGTTAACTGGGAGGAGTATTGAGCTCCAAAGAAATGACTTACATGTCTGCCACGATCCCATTGTCTGAAGACCGTTGAGCAAGCTAGAGTCATAGCCGAGGGTAGTCGAGCCCATGAAGAGAAAGACCATTATAAGGTACAACTTCCTCAGCTCCGTCTGTTTCCAGAAAGGCAACGATGAGCCCTGAGGAGCATGATTCTCCTCTGGGATGTCGGCTTCGGTCTCCTTTGATGTCATGATGAGCCTGAGTGTTGGTGGATGGGCCAATTGATCAAGAGACTTGGAGTTGAAGCACTTGTCGATTAAGGGATGATCTTGGCTGCTTCCCCGACTAGTTATATATCCAGGACAAATGTGGCATCTGCGTATAGACCTGACAGCCACATAATACTCAAAGATCAAGCCATGAGTCTCGTGACAGTAAGTCACAGCAATGCATCATGGTCCTTGGATGGCACGGATTTGCCATGCTTTTCCTGCTCTCCCCATGGGGAAGACAAGGTTGAGAAGTTTGTTTGGAGAACTAAAACACAACAGGTTAAGTCACTGCAGATGGTCCACAGCAAAGGCAGCTCTGATTGGGTAACAGTGTCTGACTTTGACCAACACCAGGAATCTAGCCATTCTTTTTCAGGAAAGGCCATCGAGGTATATCCGAAATTTCGGCGAACTGGTCCATACAGAAGACTCTAAAAGAGAGGAGGCGATCCGAATATTCTCCTCGGACTAATTGTCTCCTTCTTTCTGCCAGTCGATTCTACGCACGGAGACCCTCACCCTGTTACTCTGCAGTATATACCCTTGGAATCAATGACTGACACAAGCGAGCGCGCCCCTACTTCCGTCTCCGCGGGTGCATCGACTGGCAATTCGGGGCAACGGCGTCGGAACCAAGCGGCTTGTGATGTCTGCAGAGCCAGAAAAATCCGGGTTGGTAACCATATGGCACCCATAACGCCACTGTCTACCCCTCATTATCGATATGCTAACAATGTTTGTAGTGCACGTATGATGGTGACAGTCAGCGATGCCAAGGCTGCGAGTTTCTAAATGCGAACTGTACTCATGAACGTCCAAGAAGGAAGCGTGGACCTCCAAACAAGTTAGTCCATTGTACGTCGTCGGTTCTATTATCATACTGATACAGAACAGACATGTACAGAAAGCTCAAAGACAGGTTGTAGAGACACCAGGGATCCCTTCTCCAAATAATGTTTCTATCTCACCAGGCGAAAGCAATGATGCGCGCCAATCAACAACACCACTTCAAAGCCCCCAGGTGCTGGGCCATATGAACCTTTCCGCGACTTGTACCTGCTCTGGGCCCAGTAGCAAATGGCTTTCCGCGTTTGCCTCGGAGCCGATCATTATGCGATTGCTAGGGGACTGGTTCAATTTGATCCACCCCCTAGCTCCGATCTTACTCCGTCGTCGGTTCCTTCAGCGTCTTCAGCAAGGAGTAGCTGACGTTGACGCCGAGTTCTGTGGGCTCGTCATTAGCGTATGCGCAGCTACCAAAGCGACACTACCGCGGGGTGACTATGGACCAGTGACTGTAGATTATTGTGTTGACTTCCTTGATGCTCACGGACTACTCAAGAGTCAATTTACCCGGGACTCCTTTAGTATGGACAGGTGCATCGCCTTGTACAATATCGGGACAGCCATGAGCGCCACTACGAAATCAGGGTTAAGCAGCATGCGCGCCTATCACGCCTTGAGCGAGGCTGCTGCAGGGGCTAGGTACCTGGCATATTATCGGATACATGAGCATGATGAGGCTGAACAGCAGCTGTTGAGAAGACTCATATGGTTATTATTTGCTAGCGCATGGTATGTTGCGGCACTGGGAGTGGGTAAGCCGAGCAGCGCTAATCAAGTCACATATCACAGTAGTGCGGATATTTTCGGAAGACTACCCATCAGTTTGCTCAGTCAAGATCGCATCGAGACCTTTCCAAGACCACTCCCTCTTTCAGATAACCAGATAGAGCCAAGGACTGCAAAGAGCTGCCACGAGCCACCTTGGCACGGAGATGACACCACTTACGTCCCAGGGCTAAACTCGTTAAGCGACTTGTTCCTCATCTGGCAAGAGGTGCAGCAAGTTCCCGAGGGTATGGAACCACAGGTAACTATCACGAGATATCTTGGAAAGATTCAACAGGTTCTGGATAATCTCCCGCCCGAGCTGCGATGGCGTGGTGGTCTGTCCCGTCCCGCTAACGTTACAGAAGGGCATGATGTCCAAATCGCCAATTTATTTGTGACGAGCCTCAATATCCGCTCCAACATTCTTCAGAAGTTCGGTCCGACAGACAAAAGCGCAGAAGACCACCAGAAAATCGTAGATGACCTATTAGAGATCCTGTACCATCTTCCCCGCGCTGTCTTTGATGCCAACGGCAGCAGCCTCGTCCCCAAGATTCGGGACATTGGAGCAGCCTACCTTGAACAGTTGGGGAGTGGCGTGGGGGAAGTGGAGATAGGAGATGCGAGAATTAAACTGCAGCGATTACTTCGGAAGCTGGATGATCTAGACTGTTGGCAGGGAATTGGTGTTCTCGACACTCCGCCATTGAGGGTAGATACGTGACTTGAATACCCAGACAGACATCAGATCATTAACGTCAGAACTGAGTCAATGCTACCCAGCTTGGGAAGGCTTTGCCCCTCAACCCATAAACTGCAACTATTCGCCGAGATTTGGGCCAGTTTCTCCCGGGTTAATGCGGAGTAAGTCCGAGTATCCCTGCAAGCTTGGATCAAGCTCCCCGCACTAGAACGCATGATCCACCAACCCTGCACTCCTGCTTATGCAGTTCGGGAAATACAGAAGGTATTTGAACCATCTACGATTCGATATTGCCATCAATTTTATCTCTATTAACTTCCTGGTTTTCATCATTTTAGGCTCAATAATCATGACTGCCACACAAATCTCAACAGTACCAGCCCAACATGCCTACCCTCATCTCGGGCGATCTGACAAGGGTTCAGTGCAGCTTATTGTCAAAGGGAAGCCATTCCTGATGCTTCCTGGCGAGCTTCACAACTCATCGCTTAGCTCCGCCAAGTTTATGAGTGAGGTTTGGCCAAAAATGAAATCCGATCATATCAACACATTGCTTGGTTCAGTGACATGGGAAATGATCGAGCCCAAGGAGGGCCACTTTGACTTCAGTGAACTTGATTTGGTTCTGAAAGGCGCCAGAGAGCATGACATGCACCTCGTTCTGCTCTGGTTTGGTACATACAAGAATGGACTTTCAACATATGCCCCAGGATGGGTCAAGAGAGATCCCAAGCGGTTTCCCCGCGTTCAAGTTCTTGAAGCTGGTGGCGTCAAAAGGACACTCGAGATGATCACTCCTCTATGCAACGCTGCGTGTGAGGCTGACTCTCGAGCTTTCGCTGCCCTTTTACGGCATCTTGAAGAGGTTGATTCACATCATCAGACTGTCTTGATGGTCCAGGTTCAGAATGAGACCGGAGTGCTCGGCGATTCTCGGGATCGATCGAACCGCGCCAATAGAGCCTTTGCTGAACCCATTCCAAGTGATCTCCTACAATATCTGAGCCGCGTCGATACCCACTCCAGATTCAAGAAACGGATCTCAAGCGTTTCCTCATCAGGTACTCATTCATGGGAATCCCTCTTTGGGTCTGGAACAGCAGCCGATGAGGCCTTTATGGCGCATTTAATCTCCTCTTACGTGGGACGAGTCGCTGCTGCAGGAAAGGCCGAGTATCCTATCCCTCTGTACACAAACACATGGCTCAACATTGAAGGGCAGTCGGAGCTGGACTTTGGCGGAGGCGCGCCAGTTGTGGTTGGTGGCGGTGACAAGCCTGGAATTTACCCATCCGGAGGTCCTTGCCCGCATGTTTTGGATATCTGGCGATTTAACACGCCTTCTCTGGACCTACTAGCACCGGATCTTTACTTCCATGACTACGAAACTGTCTGCCGCAATTACACAGAACAGGGAAACACTCTCTTTATCCCGGAACAGCGACGTGATGAATATGGAGCAAGACGCGTCTGGTTATCCTACGCGACTTACGGTGCTCTTGGGGCTAGTCCCTTTGGCATTGATACTGGCTCTGACATCATTGGACGTGAGTTCAAGCTTCTCGACCAGACTAAGCAATTTCTCCTGGATGCTGCACCCGAAGATCGTTTTGGCTTCTTTTTTGACGAAGAGCCAAGCGAGAAGAAGCCGGAGCAGTGGACTCGCACATTCGGCGACATCAAAGTCATTGTTGAGCGCTGCTTCGTCTTTGGAAAGCCTGGTCCTGGTGCTGGAATGATTATTCACATGGGTAACTCCAAGTTCCTCCTTGTCGGCCGGGGCTTTCACGCACGATTCAAAGCAGCTCGCAAGGATGCAACATTTGGCGGGATTCTCTGGGGCGAGGAGAAGGAGGTTGATGAGAATGGGAGCCTACAGACATTGAGGATCTTAAATGGAGATGAGACGAGGCACGGCGAATTCATGATGATGCCCAATGATGATCCCGATTATGGCGGCTTTCCTATTGCTGTTACGCCTGGAGCGAGTACTTGTATTGCTGAGGTGGAGGCCTATTGGATTGCCGAGGATGAAGATGACAGATAATCACAACATTGATTCACTGGGTAGTTAGCCGAGATTACAGTAGCAGTAGCATCCACAGTAATACCAATTCCGTAACATCTTGTCGAACTCCCTTGTATATCACGTGGTGCAGACCCATGCTGCTCAGATCGCCCCTCATTCTCATCCACCTCAAGGTTAATGGAGACAAATAATTGACCAAGGCACTCAACTTGAAATTTATTCTAGTCACCATGGCAGACCAAACAGCGCAATCGCCAAATCCGGCGGAAATACCATCATCGCCCACCGTAGTCTCAGCGCCACAACAGACAGAGCTCATCGCTGCCAATGACGAGCACGTACGTTGATAAAATACCTCATCAAGGTTCGGTCATGAATTTATCTGTTTTGTAGGACGACGAGGTTGAAGACGATGCCGATTCTACTCTTGGTGCAGACGCGTTAGTTGTACCTTTGAAATATGTCAAAAAGTGACTAAATGCTAATTTGTCCAACTTGACGGGGTAGAGAAAGCTCGACTGCTTCAGTCTCGGCCAGTATCCTCGAATATCGTCGCAGTCAAGGCCGCACTTATCACAGTGATAAATTCACCACCAACTACTTCTTGCCCAATGATGACCAACAGCTAGAGTCTGTGGACTTGACGTATGGCCTTTGTTACTGGAAACTATCATCCCAGGTCTGATCTTTCGCAGTCACCACTATTTGACTATCTTGCTGGACGACAAGCTGTTTCTGCCTCCTCTGCAAGCAGATGATATTAAAGTTTGTATCGCCGATCCAAGCATGTCTATGACGATTGTTTTACTGACCGCTTGGTGCTTCGTCAGAAAGTGCTTGACGTAGGCACTGGGACTGGTAAGCCATTCAAACCTATTTATTCCTCTCATACATTATTGACAAGCGGTATCAGGTATCTGGGCCATGTACGTGCAATTTTGCTCCCTACCGAAACCTCCTACTGACTAATCTAGTGAATTTGCTGACCGTCATCCGAATGTCGAGATTGTTGGTACCGACCTATCCCCATGTCAGCCAGAATGGGTTCCACCAAACGTTCGCTTCGAAATAGACGACGCAGCCCTCAGTTGGACATGGGGTCCTGATGAGTTCGACTTCATTCATATCCGTTACATTTTCGGTGCTATCAAAGACTGGTCTGCCCTGTTCTCTGAGGCCTACCGCTGCTGTGTTCCTGGAGGCTGGGTCCAATCCGCTGAAGCTGATGTCGAGTTTCGTTGTGATGACGGTACTATCGACAAAGAGCCAAACCTCAAGATATATAAGAAGCTGTTTGAAGAAGGAGCCAAGATTCTCGGAAATCCTTTCTTTGTTTATGATCAACAGGTTCAAGGCTTCAAAGACGCTGGCTTTGAGGACATCACGACTGTTGACTACAAGGTGACTGCTGCAAGACGTTGCCTATAAAGTGGTAATTTATTAACAAGCAAACAGATTCCTGTCGGAGATTGGCCGAAAGATCCCAAGCTCGCCGAGGTTGGGAGATTTGTTCGCGCTTGTTTAGAAAATGATATAGAAGGCAAGTTGAGACCTCTTGCTTTTCGCTTATTGATCAGCTAACACTTTCCCCTAGGCTATACTACTATGATGTGGAACGATGTGCTGAAGTGGCCTAAGGACGAATACCAGCTGTTCCTGATGAGCATTCGCAAAGCCATCAAGAACCCTAGGATCCACACATACATGAGGGTTCGATATGTATATGGACGTAAGCCATCATCACCGTAAGACCATGATACTTTGCTTTATATCTCTAAAAGACGCCTCTTGATATTGACTCAACATACATACTATTCCTTTCACTGTCTCAATGCCAATCCCCGAGTTATGTCTAGCTACTGCCCAGTATCCTCAGGTAGCTTTGAACTAAATAGTGAACTTACCAATGAACACGGGCTAGAAGAACAGACCCTTCTTCTTTCTCCAGTCCCACGTAGTTGCCTGTCGTAGGTCATCAACACTGAGAACATCCACGCCCTCCCGTGTCAGAATATGCCAAATATGATTCCTCAGTCCAATAGGCCATGCTGGCACACTGAAATACCTGGCCTTGAGACCTAATCGATGGGCACCACGAATCTGGGCCCGAATGCGCTGTAACTGCTCTTGCGACAGTCGCGAACCCCAAACGTGCCCAACTGCTTTTTTGAAATGGGTAGAAGCGTAGTAGCTATTTTGAGAGTTGTATTTCTCTGAGATCTTGCTTCCTTCTGCGTTGTATGTCCTTGCTTGTCTTCGTTCAATGTTGCTCGGTAATACTCCTTGCTCGATACAGTTATCCGGCAGTTCAGAGTTTTGAACCTGTGCTCTGTTTGGATTCGGCCAAATTTGAGACGTATCAGCTAATAGATCTAATGGTGCATCATAAAAGACATCACGGTAGGTGCTATTTGCTGTTATTTTGTCAAATGGTGTATTTCCCGTGCCAACAATCACAACAGGGCCAGGTACAATAGCTGTGCCGTTGAAATAAGTAAGCAGGTTTCTGCGTCGAAGTGGCTCGAGTTGTCCTTGAAGTGTCTCCCAGGTTGCGTTTGCTTCTGTTTTGAAATCGATGAGGACGACCAGCGGTCGATCCGGATCGGCTTCGAAAACTCCAGCCATAGGCTCGTTAGCAGTCGAGAGGGAGTGACAAGGTATTCCTCGTTCACATGGGAAGGTGTCTCTCTGACGGTCGAAAATACCGAGAAGAGGGTTGAGATACAAGCTTTCCAGCGTATGGTTGGTCTCCAGCTGGAAATGACGATGGGCCACATACAGGTCATCGTCTTCGTTCCACACATCGGCTTCGACACTTGGACAGCCCGCAGAAATGGCGTCGGGAAGTGGAGCGTTTCTCAAATAGTCGTTATGAGAATGGCAACGCACAGGTTGCGTGGTCCGTGTTGAGTCGGATAACCAGTGCCCAACGCCAATTGTTGCTGCGGCAGCGTCGATCCATGGGTGAACGATCAGGTCCATTTGGTCCGGAAAGTAATGATGCAAGGTATCTCCCAAAATATGGAGTAGGCCACTACCCGTACCGAGTTCTCTGATTAGTATGATTCTCTAGAGTCTAGTCCGAGTGCGCCAAGGGAATTGCAGAACTCACGTCATGGAGAGGTAGCCAATAATCAACAAGCAAAAGGCTCTCCGAAGCTTTCTTCGAAAGTGAATGATTCTAAGACGAGGGAGCGTCGATGCTCCCAAGCCTTTGAAATGCAAGTCTCGTCGTCTTGGCACGGAGACATTGACATATAGAGGCTCAGGCCAGCCGGTTGAATTGTCGTATCCTCTACCCAATGGGCTGTCATCATTCACGTACTCGACAGATGACTCCAAGTCATGTCGTGTGGTATAATTACCCTTCATGATCCCGATTTACAGTTTGTTATCGGCTGCAGGCTCCACCAATCTGTTGTTGTCCGACTTTTCTTTCTGGTTGGAACATCAATCAAGTGCTGTCCCACGTGTAACGTATCGGAGGGACAGACGAGATAGACCAAGGGAGTCCATGGCTACTGCATAGACAAATATAAGATGTAACATGCTGCGCCGAGGCCGCGTAAGCGCTCTCAGTCCTCCAAGAGATACTGGATGTCATCACTAATATTAGTTGACGTCTAGTGTATGCGGGCTCCCGTATACCAATTGACTTGCCGGGGGTGGGGATCGACGCCCATCTGTGCCGAATTGCCGAGATACCGCTCTAGAGTTTGCGGTCTCTAGCCGATAATGGTATAGTTCGTAGGGTTATTTTGTTTCAAGGCTAGTCTTCCGCACCTTAAAAACGCCCGCCCTGTCAGAGCTTACGCGGTCTTGGCAACAGTTGCAGATCCAATTCAGAGACCAATGGTCAATAAGCATCAACTTGGCTTATTGATAAGCTTACGGGTCGGTTTCTATATTCGTATAACACACAGTATGATTCAGGTGCTTAGTACTTTCCGATAGCCTTGCCCTGTTATGGAGTGCACTAGAAATCTTGATTGCATTCAAATAATAGACTAATATATAAGCTTCTTGAGCGTTGGATGCTTGATGCGCTCCAGGAGAACGAATTTCTTACGTAGTCACTGAAAGCATGATTAACTGGGCGTTGTACTGCAGTAATTAAAGCGAGCCTTCTGTCCAGACTCATAGGTTAACATAAAGCCACATTCTCAATCATGGTCTCTTACAGGCTTTCTGGTCGGGAACGGTGATCTCCGGGACGGCTCGGTAAAGCCAAACTATGCATATCCCGGGGTTACTATCGTGCTATGATGCTCATGAATACGTAAGTCTCTCAACTTATCAGTAAACTCTGTCTCACATTAAAACGTGGCTGTGCTACGGAGATCTCGGTCATGCTAAGGAGAGGGGGTTCAACTGATTTAGGTAGGATTTACCTCTTGCTAGCAGGCATGGACTTATGAAGTTCAATATGGTGTATGCACAATCTGAGTCTATTGCAAGTCATGTTGGACTGTTTGTCTGACGTTGGAGGTGTCTCATTGCCCCTAGGAAGCCCCTGAATATCTAAGACTGGGTTGCACCGTGCTCGTGACGCGTCTTGTGTTCAGCCATACTCGAGACTGTACCTCAATGAATCGTGGCGGACGGGCACGTGCATACAGAATGGCAATGCTGTGTAGATGGTTTTAGTGGATAGTGATCAACATCTTCCCGTACGCGATCCAATCAACCATGCACAAGGGTGAGCTGAGATAAATTACTGCGAGAGTGCGAGAGAGCGCGTATCGCTTCATCATTCAATCCCGCTTTATTACCAGGGTCCTAACTCGAGTTATATAATAGAAGACATTAATTCATTTACCAGTTGGTAAATGTCCACCTCTACTAAATAATATTCCATCCAAGTCCAAGTCCAAGACAATGGATCACCGCCAACTTGATGAAAGCATGAGACCCTTTCCTCCGACGCCAGCATCTTCATCACCCACTTATACCCCGAATGATGGCACACTAACACCGACTGTCGCTCGCTCTGAGTCTGGAACAGACGTCGAGCTCCAGCTATACACAGGAGATGACAGGGAACGAGAAGTACCTCCACAGACTACTGAAGCACCCGAACGACCACATCATATCTTCTCAAAGCACAGAAAGTGGATGACTGTGTACATGGTCTCTATAGGTGGAGCTTTTTCCACCTTGTCATCCAACATTTACTTCCCGGCAATCAATACAATATCCAAAGACCTTGGGGTCAGTGCCACGGACATTGGCTTCACTATCACCGTGTATATGATTGTTCAAGGAATAGCGCCTTCGCTATATGGCTCTATCTCAGACGCGCGTGGTCGTCGAATCGCATTCGTTATCGCCCTCGCAGTCTACCTCGCTGCAAATGTGTCGCTAGCTTTCACGTCCAACCTGGCCATGCTCGTGGTCTTGCGAGGATTGCAGGCCGCTGGATCGGCTGCAACAATTAGCATCAGCACTGGTGTGATTGCCGATATAGCAGAACCCAATGAGAGAGCAGGTTTCATGGGGACCAACGCCGGAATAAGGTATGCATATCCCTAAAGTTAAAGAGACCTTTGAATAACAGGTGTGACACAGAATGATTGGCCAAGCCATGGGTCCTGTCATCGGCGGACTGCTGAATAGTGCCTGGGGATTCAGAAGCATCTTCTGGTTCCTGTTTGTCTTTTGTGCCTTGGTCCTCTTGGGAATATTGTTATTTCTGCCAGAAACACAGAGGAGGATAGCAGGTAATGGCGATGTTCCTCTCCGAGGTCTTTACAAACCCTGGTCCTACTACTTCAAACCACCTAAGGAATGGCGTAATGCACCCGTACCGCCAGCACCAAAGCTGGAGAAGCTGTCTTGGAGGACAATCATTGAGCCATTGACTTATATCCTTAGAATGGATATCCTAGTTCTCCTTTCCTGGGGTGCACTTGTATACACCATCTGGAGTATGGTCACGTCCTCAACCACCACAGTGTTACTCAAGACTTTTCCGGACCTTACACAATGGCAAGTCGGCCTCTGCTTTCTTCCAAATGGAATCGGATGTGTGTTCGGATCGGTATGCACTGGTAGACTGATGGATCGAGCTTTCAAACGCGCCGAGACTCGATATAAAGAGGAGCATGGACTTGCTACCGTCAATGTCAAGTCCCAACACGACTTTCCCATTGAGCGTGCCCGACTGTCACTGGTGCCTTATTTCAGCGTTATTTTCATCGTTTCAATGGCGCTGTACGGGCCCAGCTACGAATTCAACGACCTTAGGAGACACTTTGCTGGGAACCTGGTAGCCTCCCTGGGTCTGCAATTTATCATTGTATCTACTGCAACAGCCATCTTCAATATCAACTCGACGATATTGGTAGACTGCTTCCCGGATAACTCGGCGGGCGCGACAGCAACGAATAATCTGTGCCGTTGCCTCCTTGGGGCTGTGGGCGTCAGCGTGATACAGCCTATGATCGCCAAACTCAAGATTCGCAACGCATTCCTCGTGCTCACAGGTATTGCTGTTGTGTTCTCGCCACTTGTCTGGGTTCAATGGCGAATGGCAGAGAAATGGAGAAGGAATAGAGTCAGTACCTAATAAAAGTTTATATATTAAGCTAGTGTAATGCCAAAAACTACCTCTCGAAAGCTAAGTAATATATGCGTAAGCTCTATTTTCTCGCTTTAGATCCTCGAGTTATCTCCAACCACTCCCCATTGTCCTCTACTGATGATCGAGGCAAGAAGGACGCAGGGTGTACAAAGTTAAAAACCCCAACGGCGATGACCATCATGGCCCCATCGAGCGCAATAAAGTACTGCTCATGCGTGATAAGGTGTCCGTGCCAGCCCTGTACAAGCTCTATAGTGCGGTATATGCTCCTTATATAGATACACAGTAATGACAGCGTCATGGCACTTAGTATAGGAATGGAGGACTGCTTTCCGGATTTTAACATGCCTCGTCTAGTGGACCGGATCAGAAAGTCGATTGCAAGAATAACAAAGACGCTCATAGAAGCCAATTGGAAGACAATTCCTGCAACCATGGTGTTTGCACCTGGCTCGGTGTTGCCGTCGACTTTGTTCACTGCCGCCGAGGCCAAACCGCCACCGATTGCCTGGACAACCAAGGAGATCACGTCGCAAGTACAAAATATCCACAGATATAGGCTCGGTCGAAGAATGGAGCAGTCGCGGCCGAAGACCTGGATCAAGCGGCCAAGAATAATATAAACACCAGCAGTGTAGAAAACAGGGGCTACCAATGATTAGTCCTTAAGTTCATACTTAAGAGGGAGTGACCAGATCAAAATCAGAGTGCATACCAATGATCAGCGTCGAGATCTGCATGAGGAAAGCAGTCGAGTTGTATGGGCATTGAGAGGACCAAGCCCGGCCAGCCCAGCCAATAATTTCAACTATTATGCCCATTAGTTAACGAAGGTCGTAGCTATAGACATAGGGGTTAAGAACATACCTAGTCCACCAACAACAAAGACGCTGCACCACCAGATCTTGGACCAACCAAGCTGAATTATGTGTACAATTGTAGAGAGACCGAACAAGATACAAAACACAATTCCCGCAGCAGTGGATGGAACGTAGCCATATGAAGTATGGACGCCCGTTATCAAGGCGTGGCAGCCATTGCGTAGGTCTTGTTCTGATGACATGTTGCGTTGGTGTGAGTCAGGAGTCCGGGAAAACGACTGAGTCTGTGATGAGATCTAAGAGCCGGGCGCTAGCTGCATCTTTATATAATCGCCATTGTGATGGAAACCGTTGGCCAACAAACTGGGGTCCCTCCCTCCTGTCGACGAGACCACAAATGGTATATCCGCAACTGCGAAGTTCGCTCTTTGATACCCACTTGATAAACGCTCTTGCGTTCAAAGCCGCGCAAAGTGCGACATTCTGGCAGGGCCATGGGCCTTAGGAATCCTTGTAGACGCAGAACTCCAATTCCACGCAAGCCATCGCCTTATCTTGTAGGTGCGTGGCTGACAAAGCAGCCAGATCTGACGACTCACTGGCCACAGCCCACAAGCAGGCCGTAAGCACCAACTTATCAGCCCCGCATTTCTCCGGAGTTCATCTCCTGAACTGCGAATTTCGCATTTCGGACTTTGGTCGAGGTCTTGGATGAAGAGCCAACGCCATCTACACCACATTTCTGTTCCTGTTATCGCAGTCTGTTGCTGGCAAAGCTGTCAGCCAGTTCGGGTTTAACCGTTAGCTTCTGCTTGAGCCCTTCAATTTGGCTATGCATTCAAAACCCAGCCGCGCAAAGAGCTGCACTGCATGTCGACAGGCTAAGCTGGCTTGTGATGCACGCCACAAATCCGCCGGAGTTTCGTGTACAAGGTGCAGTAAGCGCGGGCTACAATGTCGGTTTGACTCGAATTTCAAAAGAATTCCAACAAGAAAGTTAGTAATGGTCCTGCGGGCTTTAAGACCAATCACCGTCCTTGATGACGACTTGAATACTAATACTCGCAGCATCGTGGAGGCCATCACCAACTGCATTGACACTCAGCAGCCGCTTTCTGGGGGATCAAGCAGCGCGGAACCGAATCCTCACACGAACCCATCGACCATGTCACAAGACCCGTCCATGCCCTCCTCGGTCTACACGCGAACCTCTAGTCCGTCCTCTCATACCGACTCTCAATATTCCACTGCCCCTATCGGCGCTGCTCAAGATATTGCTGCAGCCAGTGTCGGCGGATGTACTGGGGACGCTGAGCCATGGCTACAACTGAAAAGGGTCGACATACCCTCTAGTTACCAGCTCGGAAGTCTGAACCTGAACAACACAGTAGCTCTGGATTTATTCCACCAGTAAGTATCAATGCCCCCTGCCGGCATATTTGAGCTTGTTGAAACACCAAACTAAACCGAAGGCCAGCTTCGATATTTATTACCGTCCACACGCCAGGTTCTTGAGGCCAATACGCACATCTCTAATCGAGTACTCACAATCCTCTCCATACCTTTTTTGGACCATTATCCTATGCTCGTCACAAATGCATACTAAATATGCACATATATACCCTTCCATTGTAACAGAGCACGAGGTCATGCTCTCGGGGTCCTATCTCCGTGCTCCACTAACTATCGAAATAATGCATGCCCTGCTTTGTCTTTGTTTGTGGCCAGTCCCCAAGCTTCGCTTTTGGCAGGACCCATCCTGGGGATATATAGGGCTTGTCGTCAACTCTGCCATGCAGCTCAATTGCCACCTGCCTACCAACCCGCTCCTTAACGCACAGATAAGGAGGAATGCCAGCCGTCGCGCCCTGCCTGACATAGATGCAACTGTGAAAGATACCACCTGGCTTGCCTGCTTCGATATAAACACCCGGTATGTTTGCTTTCGGGTACTTTCCTGCTCAAGTTCCGCGGCGTCCGTTACTTACACATCAATACTGTCACAGTCTTAGTGAGTTCCTGGGGTTCCCATCCCTGTTTTCATCTGGATACTACCTGAAAAGTGTATCCCGTGCTCGCGAACGAGCATCAAGTCTTCTGGACGCGTCCTATCACACGGTATTAGAAATCCGCCAGCTCACCATGACTTCTATAGCGAAGCTCGACATGATTACAGACTCCGCCCTGCACTTTTCCAAGATCCAAAGCAGCACCAATGACTTGGAGCTGCTGAAGAGCTCAGGTCAGCACTCCTGGAATCCCGAGACAGAACTCACTTTTCAAGGCGCAAAGCTGTACTTGTATGCCATGACACTTCTATTGCCACCCGCTACAGAGTCTGTCATTACTCTTCAGGCCATCTATAATCGGGACGCAGCACTGATCAGAGGATTGATGTCTGCTTCAACAATGATATCAGACATACTTCAGCAAATCCGTGACAAGCCCACTCAAAGCACGGATAAGATTACATGCAGTGTAGCGTTCTGGCCAAAGACCCAAATCAGCTACCTTTTCTATGCCGCGACATTTATTTTCCGGGTTCTTCTCTCACATTCGAGTCTTACACCGCAGAATATAACCCTCGCTATGTCGCGTCTTGCAGATGCATACGCAATTTGTAGAATAGAACCGCTGCATCCAGATCGAACACGCGCTGGCGAGATTATCCAGCGTTTGATAGAAGTTGCGCGCTCTTATGTAACGACAGACGGTGGCGAAATTGACGCCAAACCACTACTCCCAAGAGGTCTTCTTGTCACTGGTCGCTTAGGGGCATCGGTCATGTTTGATGCCGTACTGCGGTCTGTACACTTTCAAAAACAATGTACGCAGAGGCGCAAGTCCCGCCCGAGAAATGAAACTGGTATGTCTCAAGCCGACACGCCTCTCCATGGCACGGAACAGCGGGCAGGCGGAGATGCCAGTTCAAATGCCGGACTGATAGGGCAGAGTCAATCTGCAGAAGCCTTTTCAAACATACAAGGCGGGGCAGGGGTGACAGGGCTTGGGGATTTGTTTGACTTCGACTTCATGGATCCCTATGAGTATATCATGAGCACTGACTCGTCTCTCATGTACGACGCCCTGCAGGACCCAGGCTTCGGAAATTTGTAACCTCTTTTATATGCCAAGTATATCATATATCTCAGTCTGTTATGAAAACTTTTATCGAGCGTCTTTGAGCGCGACCTGGGTCATGTGATACCAGGAAGATATTCAGGCAGCCGATAGATGATGTTTAGCATTTAAGAGGGTATACTGGTTATGTGCACTTCTACCAATATATACAAGCTTGGAACAAATTATCAGAGGAATGCAACTAAAGAGGGGTAGGTAGTCACACCAATTGTAATTTGACAGCTGATGCATTAGGCAGAAGTGCAAATCACGCATCAATTGTCAAAGATCATCGACATCGCCACCACCGCCCGCCTTAACATTGCTCCTCATTATAATAATACAGCCCTGAATTTCTCACTGCATCGCAGCCACCATGTGCTCCCGGACACTTCAAAAGAGTTTTGCTCTGTCCTCCGCATCTCTTCATCCTACAACCGCGCGACACCTAAAAACTACCCGGGATGACGGGAATATTATAATGGTATACCTCCTGTTCTTCACTTTGATGCAATATCACTGACCTATTAACAGCAACCTGAAGTGCCACTTCCGATTCGAGAAGTTATTTCCCAGTGGCAATGTGTGAGTCTACAATCGATCGCTTACTGTCGACATACCTGACTCTCGCTAGTGTAACTGCTGCTGTGGCTGGCAGAGTATCAATAACAACCCGGAGTGCCCAAGTTGCCTTCATCGTCGTTGCCTAGGCTGTACATACTCTTAAATCTCGGAATTATTTGGCATGGATGTGCCAATAGACAGTGTCAATATGGCCAGTATAAACTCATCAGCCTATGCATGGAACCAAGAGTTCTTCGACCGGCAAATTCAAAAATATCCAGCAGAAAACACACCTGCTGTAGCGACCTTCTCGAGCGTCTACGATCTAATTCAAAGGTTTCTTTCGGCATCTGGCGGCATGGAAGCGTTCCTTGGGCCTAGCACATACCAAATGTTGGAGCTTGAGCCTCTGTGCAAGTCATGCAGTATGGACTATTTGCTAAGTGGAACTGATCCTAGTGTAACTCGGCCTATGGCTCTTCTTGATGATCGCTGTCGACGAATGCATCATTCTGAGCCACCAGGTGGTCACATGCGTCGTGACCGTGGGCCTTTAAGTTCCTCGCAGCTATTACAAGAGCTTGGAAAAAGGGTAGGCTAATACAATCTTATCAATTGCGATTTTGACTTACCGTGACAATTATAGCGATATGGATGCATTGGTGAGACTGATGCTGCGAGGCGACTACTGTGAGGCATTTTCCATCATCATACGACTTTTGCATCTGCTGATAATCATACCTAGCTATGTGGCTAACCCAGACTGCTGGGTGATTGTGGCGTTAGCTTCAACTGCTTCCAGCGTTCAGGCCACGTTTCTAGCAGACTTCTTTTATAAATACCTGGGGTCCAGAACATCACTAGGTATCCATCGACCAATGCGGGGACCACTCATCTTTGGACTCGAATTCCATTTGCAATACTACGTCTGGTGTGAAGGCGGCACACAGTTCCACGACTCTAGGAAGAAACGGAACGGGAAGCCTCTACGCCAAAGTCGACAGCCCTATTACCTCAAACTGGGCGATGGAAATGGAAATGAGCCGCAGGTTCATATCTATGAAACTCAAGTCTCCTGTCTCATAGCAGGTATAGATGAGGACTCCTGGGTCGCATATCAGTTTGTTGATACTTACTACCAAGGAAACAAACCGCTTGCGCAAGATGAACAGCATGGCGTCAAACCAGATCCCTTAACAGGGGGCTTGTTTGATGCAAATCTCCCTATCTGGACTCCGAGAGAGTATTTCCTCATCGTCTACGAGTGTCGACTCAAACAAGTCAGGCATGCTATGCACAACCTGGTCGCGAGATTGTTCCTAAGATTAGAGCCATATGTAATTGACCCCGGGTATGAAAAGCACCATGAATGGAGCACTTACTTGTATATAGACACAGGATGAAGGAGACATGACAGCTTCTTTTGGCGAGGGCATCATTGGGACGATGGCCCAGAAGAAGTTGACGCAACGAGTCCTCAACGAAGCAAACAGATTTCTACCACAAACTATCCACTCTATCTGCAAGGCCATTGAGGTTTGGGACAGGTTCAGTCGGAGAGATCTTGCGTACCTCTCAGACATACTGAAGTCTGATTCTAAGAAGAGCCCAATCCCATCAGTCAAGGTAGTGACCATGATTGAAGATCACATCGATGCATTGCGAGACCTTCAACGACGCGCTGAGGAGCAAAGAGACTTGTGCGCAGGGCTTGCTCGAAAGGTATGTGAGGAGAGACGACGAGAGGAGGCGAGACCACGCGGAAAGGCTTACAAAAGCAGCTTGAAATGCAGATTGTCATGGAGGATAATGAAGTCACGGCCCGGCAGCAAGCAGGGACTGAGATGACTAGATATTGGACTGGCATTGGCTTGGTAGGTCTATGCAATTTGTTTCTCTAGGGTAAAATGCTAACTTTCAGTAGGTCTTTCTACCGCTCACGGCTGTTACTGGCATATTCAGTATGCAAGCAGGCATTTTGCCTGAATCGTTTTATAAGTGGTGGATTTTTATTATTTTCTGGATTGTGATCACGCTTCTCGTTATTCTCGCTGTTGAATTCAGATCATTGCGGTCTTCAATCCCAACTTTGGGCAGCGATTGTTCTTGTAGTAAAGCTTCTTCTCCTTGGCACCCTTTCACATCAACATTCTCTCTACTATCGTCGTCAACAGATTTTCCTGAGATCGAGCTCATGCCAAGGTCCCCGGGTAGGACAGTTTAGAGTGGAACTTTCTGGGGTCCTGCATTCTCCCCAGACATCATGAGATATTGCGACCTCATTGATACTTCTTATTGGTGCGGTAGTGTTTCTCCAGAAGCGATCCATGGACGATCAGTTTGACATGATGTTCAGTGGAGACTGGTGGGTGCTTAACTGGATAAGCATATTAGGCCAAGCTCCATACGGTATTTCGGAGGCACCAACTCCATCAATTGGAGTGCACTGCTATGGGCCCGTACCGGCAAAATAGAGTTTCAAGTGCTGATCCCTGGTTTAGCCTAATAACACTTTCTGCCGTAACCTATTGCCATGACTGTATAAGACCATCGTGATATCGTTTGAGAACTGATTTCTCGTAACCAGTTGTCTTTGCTCTTAGTGGCAACTGAGGACTTGACTACCGATATGTTTGACGGCATCAAAACAAAGGCTCTTCTAGTAGCCTGCCTGGTTTTCTCAGGTTCGGCATTACCCAATGGCAATGATAAGCGTCACTGGGTAGGCACATGGGCGTCAATGCCTCAGGAAGTTGAGCCTGCAAACTTGGCCCCAGCTCCATTTGTGTGTTCTCTCCAGATAATATTGAGACTATCTTTCAAAACCCTCGGAAACTAATCAATAACTACGACAGGGAGGAGCAGATGCTGCAGCTCAATTCGAAAACACTACTCTCCGCCAAACATTTCACATGTCAATTGGAGCTGACAAGATCCGTATTCGGTTTTCCAACATCTTTGGCAAAACAGACTTGCCCATCACAGCCGCGTCAATCGCTCTACCTGTCGCTGGAAAGGCAGGCGTCGGTCAAATCGATACTAAGACCACGAAGCAGCTCAAGTTCAAGGGCAAGAAGTCCGTTTCTGTCCCAGCAGGAGAGATCGTTTACTCCGATCCCATTGACTTCAAGCTGAAGCCTCTGTCCAACCTCGCATTGTCTGTCTACACTGAGAAGGGTCAGCTTGGAAACAAGATTACTGGACATCCAGGCAGTCGAACGACCTCTTGGATGCAAAAGGGCAACCATGTCAACGCTGCATCTGTATCCGAGGGAAGCACCAAACATTGGTATTTTGCAAACGGAATTGACTCGTGGGCCCCCAAGGACCATTTCGCTGTTGTACTCCTAGGAGACAGCATCACCGATGGCCGAGGCAGTACAGACGACACCAACGATCGGTAAGTACAGTTCCCAAAGCTTCAGTATCTTTGCTTACAATCTCCAGATGGTCCGATGCACTTGCGTCTCATTTGCAGGAATCTGGCATGACTAATGTCGCTGTGAACAACATGGCAGCAGGTGGCAATGCTATCCTCTCAGGCGGTCTAGGACCTATCCTGCTCCAACGATACAAGCGAGATGCCTTGGAGCAACCCGGCGCCAAGTTTGTCGTTGTTTTCGAGGGTGTTAACGATATCGGACCATCCGCCACCGACGATGCTACCCAGAAGCGGATTAAAGAGGGTCTCGTTTCTGCATATAAACAAATCGTGAAGGATGTCAAGAGCGCGGGTATGACTGCCATCGGAGCAACCATCACACAGATGCTTGGAAACCAGTACTACGCTCCCGAGAGAGAAGTCACTCGGGTCACGATCAACGACTGGATCCTGAAAAACGGGACTTTTGACCATACCGTCGACTTTGCGTCTTTGATTGGAAGTGGAGATAAGCTACTCCCTCAGTATGACTCTGGCGATGGTTTACATCCCAACCCTGCAGCATACGAGTTGATGGGCACAAAGTTTCCCATCAAGCTTTTTAAGAAATAACTATAGGTTGAAAAATAGGAAGATTTGAAGAATAAATAAAAAATTAAGAGAAGATATCGTTCATAATGCTAGTTAGCGTATTACCGACATAATTAGGGCCAAATATAGAAGACCAGGTTGCACAAGATTCGCTCGCAACACGTCTTTTTCCAAATTTGAGCAATCCCAGATCAGTTACGACCAGCCTGAATTGCGTGATTGTGCTGTCTTGCACATGTGGCTTGCACCTGGACCTCTGAATCAACTTCAGGAAGAAGTTACCCGAGCTACCCTGGCATCTTTCAAGGATGTGTAATTTCCTTTACAGATTTTCAAGACTCAAGGCGAAAGCAACTAGAGACGCTAAACTCGGGAAGGGCGTCCGATTACCCGGACCTTACAATTAAGGCTTAGTCTCGAAGAACCGGTGGTCTCTGATTCGTTTGCTGGGTTATCCTGGTTTCAGCTGAATCCATTATGAGCTTAAGTTCCCGGGAGCCTCGGCGAGGAAAATTCAAGGTCATTTGCAGAGATGATTGATCTACAGCATCAACTTCGAGCCATCTGAAGATAAAATGTATTATGAAGATGATATCAATTCAGGATCCAATGTGTGCATCTCGAATTCTTCGAAATTCCCACTGCAGCGCAGCACTAATATCTGAGTTGATCTCCAGCTTGGCGAGGTGGGCTGACCATTAGACAAGCATTCTGAGACACGCCAAGCAGGGATGTAGATATCACAACCAACAGATGGAACCTCGTCGTGCATATATATACCAGAGAAAGTCGTCAACCAACAATTTCAACCTCTTCCCCAATAAAATGCATCACTGTCTACCCTCTTCCTAAATCGTACTTTGAAGATGTCTTGGGACCGTGGCGAGTTAAATAAGAAGGGCTTCTTCTTCGATGACTCTATCCGGACAACGATTCCATGGGCCCCATTCCCGCCCCATGTCGAAGCCCTCCGACAGTCAATGCTAGACTTCACATGTCAAGACTTCGACGTAACTTCTGAAGAAGATGCTGCCACGCAGCATGAGGCTAAGAGATACTCTGAAGGCGGGTACTCTGAGAGTGATTGGGAAGATTTCTTTCGAAGAAACTTCTTTGACCCACTTGTCCAAACGGCCTCAGGGTCGCCAAAAGACTCACGCAGGTCAGTGCAAAATTCGCATCTTAAGGCACGTTACTGATATGTGGCCTATAAGAGTTTCACGATACAAGTATTACTACGATACGGTCGTATTGTAAGTATCGTAAAAAGAAATCTGGAAGATAGATGCTTATAAGAAAATGATCAGCGACGCCGACGCTTTGTGGGAAACCTTCAATGGAAAAGGTGACGAGGTCGACGATTCAACAGCCCACCGGTTTGAGACTGTAAAATGCCCCAAACCCGACTACGCATTCTATCTTCCAATGTACCATCTTAGTGCCAACTCCTATATACCTGGAATTACCGACCACAGAGCTCGGGAGTGGCATAAAGCACCAACGCCATCCCTTGTGGAGTCATTCTCATGGTCTAACCTCAAAATGCTTCATGAAAACGGTCTTCGACCTACTCCATTTCGTGTCTTTAATAAGGAGCCCCGCGAAAAGGATCTCAAATGTTATCCGTGGCTTCTTGTTGAGTATAAGAAGGAAAAATATGGGCTTTTTGAACGTCAACAATTAGAGGAGACCGTGTGTTGCCAAGCAGCCAACGGTAGCGCAAGTGCTATCAAGCTGAATCAGATTGCAGCAAGGTATACTATCGAGCTTCCCGATGAGGCACATGTTCCTCCGATCCCAGTTGTAACCACTGTCGGACCTAAGGTCAAGGTTTGGATAACATATCTTGCCAAAGACTGTATGGTACTCTATGGGGGTAAATATTCTTGGTCTTCAAGATGGGAGAAACGCAGTCAAGCCTATGTAAGTTTGCAGCCCAGCAACTTGCACTTGTATTTACTGACCGTTTTTGTTAGATGATGAAATGTATCTGGAAGGGTGATATGACTATTCCCCAGGATATTGTAAAGTTTCGGCTTATCCTTGAAAATGCGTATACTTGGGCGACGCGTGTATACAAACCTCTAATAACGACATATATTGATCAGTGGAGGTTTGTTCACTCCACAGGTGGCTTAGGCCCTACAAGTGCGACTACAGCATTGGCACGCCGCCAACAGGCAATGGAACTTTCAGGGAGTGCGCTCCCGCTAGTCCAAGGTGTTCTAGATCGTCAGTCAAGCTTCGAGCTTGACGACAGTCTGCACCAGCGCCTCACACCGATGTTGATGGGCGTCCTCGTTCAACAGATATGCGCTGTCGAGCGTCAGACGCTTACTCAAGAGTTGGATCGCATTGTTGCCGAGAAGATTGGAGCATATTCGTGCCCATGCTCATCCAACGTAAGGACAGACACAACAGACGGACAGACCCAAGAACCAAGTCAAGCCACGACAATCAATGTCGGAGACCCTAAGGATGATGACTATGTAGACTCTCAGTCTCATAGGCCTGTGAGCAACGATTCCACTTCTTCAACTCCAACGGGAGGATTGCGACGAAGTACACGATTGAACCCTCAAGTACCTTCTCCACGCCCAACTACGTGTGAGGCGCGTGCTGTAAGCATCAGTGGCGGTTCAGGTCAAAAACCTAGAACTCCCGACGCAGGGTCAAGAGTAGGGAAGAAACCACTATTTTCTTCGTTATTCGACCCACCAGAAAGCCAGAGCAGCTATGTGAGGCCAGTGGTCGAAAGTGATCCCGGAAGTGATCCCGAAAGCGACCCTGGATGGAGTACTACATCTGGAGATGAACATACAAATACTGTGGACAGCGAGGTGACCCCTCTGGCCTCACCATCAGCTGCATCTTCAACCATCTTTACACCGACCGACGACGGGTCTGCACAAATCCCAGGACCAATTCTATCACCAGAAGGTCCAGCAATAGGTCTGAGACCGGCAGGCCCATCGCCATCACCCATGCCAAGAATATTTTCGTTTCGGGGTGTTCCGCCACCAGTATCGCCTCCAAAGTTCGAATGTTTAGTATGTGGAAAGAAGAGAAATCTGTTCGAGCTCTGTCGCGATAAGACATGTTCTTCTAGGTTAAGTCGGACGGAATCGGGCGGAACCTCGAGATAATTAAGATCTAAACTAGTTATACTGGTAGTAGTCTAAACCCTTAGCAAAAGTATAGGAAATAAGAGCACATGTCCAAATTTACACATATTGGCCTTATGGCTCTCCGTAGTATCAACCTCGGCCAATCATACCTACACATGTTTTTACAAACCCCGCACCGCCTTCGCATTCCACTACTAACAACTCTTGCTCTGGGATAATTCCCGCTTTTGGGATATGCCGCCAGCCAATGCTTTCACATCGTGCGAGGCATGTAGGTATGTCTTCGTTGAAGCCTTCCCAGCTGATCAGCCTTCTAAATCACAACAACTAACTGGCTGATAGACGCCTCAAGCGTAGATGCTCAAAAGATACCCCATCATGTCGTCTGGTAAGTACTAACCTATGTCCGCTCAAGCACACAAGTCTCAGATCTCTGTTTAGTGTACCCGACTAGGTAAAGCATGCAACTATGGAACACAACAGGCTATTTCGAGCTTGAGAACCTCCACGAAGGGCTGGGGGGGTCAAGACCGCACAGATCCGACTGCCGAACTAGACCTGCACCGAACAAACAAGTTCCCATCCCTATACTTCTTGGACTCCGATTCATTCCAGCCTATATCAAGAGACATATTGATAATACACGATGGCCCAGTTTTTCTTGAACAACAAAGACGCTTTGAGGCTGCTGGTGCATTCGACTCTTTGATAGAACACTACGAGAATACCATCCACCACTGGCTCCCCATGCTCAGCATCAAGCGCCTCAGACAAGATGCAGAAGCTCTAGGAGACTCAAATCGGGGCGGTATTGATGTTCTGGTCTTCTTGGCTCTTCAGGCACTCATTAATCAGAATGATGAGCATACCATGCTACCGCAAAGTAACCCTTCATACTTAAAGGCAAAGTATGGCAGCGTTATCGCTGAGAGTGGAGGAGTCATCAACATTCGACTGATACAGACTCTCGCCTTGGTAGCCTTGTATGAGCTTGGCCATTGTATCTATCCTGCCGCATACTTAACAATAGGGCAAGCTGTACGATTGGCTACCATGGTTGGACTTCACAGCCAAAAGGATGCACAACAACTGTTCGTGGAACCGGAAACATGGACCTTATGCGAAGAACAGAGACGGACTTGGTGGGCGATTGTACTGCTTGACAGGTAGGTCCAGATATATGTTTGATGAGGATTTAACCGTTGATTATTACTAGAGTTATTGTTGCCGGCTCTCCTCGACTCTTGATGGCTGCTCCCGATCCGACCACGAATGATCTTCTGCCTTGCAACGACGATGACTGGACAAATGGACGAATAGGTTTCAATGAGGCACTATTCACGCGAAACTTCCACTCGCCCTCATCCTTGGGGCAATTTGCAAGAGTATGCCAGGCTGTTCACATTTTTGGCAAAGTTCTTCGTCACATAAAGGCCAGAGAAAAAGACGCTGCACCCGTCGAGGTTACTGCCGAGGCCTTGCAGCTACACATTGTCTTGACAGCGTTAGATCAGGGCATCATGAGCAATGACTGTGACATCACGACGGCACATGGAAGCTTGCACTCGGCGTTATCACTGTGCAGTTTGGCCCGACTGCTTCTGTACAATGAATATGCATGCAACGAGCCCAGCTTCAGCACGACACGCGAGAGATTAGCTGCTGAGGTGGAGATGCAACAGATAGCTCTGGCGAGCATTCAACACATCGTGTCCAAGACAATACCGCAGATGGCGAGGCAAATAGTTTCGGCGAGTCAGCAACAATCCAAGGGGCCGAGATACTCGCCCGTCTTGGCTAGCTGCCTGTATCATGCAGCGACAGAGTGCGCGTGGTTTGTCAAGGAGAACAACGACGCGGACATGGTGGCTGGTTTAGAAGCCATCACCCAAGCACTCCAAGTGCTGAAGTCCGAGTGGGCTGTTTGCGGTAAGCCTGACTCACCCTGTCAAGTCCGAAGTTGACGTGGCGCTGATCAATCTTACGCAGACGAATATCTCTCTTATTTGGAGGGGAATAGGTCTTGAGACTGACATCATTACAAGAGCAACAGGGCCGATAGAAGGTCAGGCGGCTCACTAGTGTTTTTCTGTCTGTCCGCAACGACGTCGCATTCCCGCTCTGCCCGCTCTGCTTACCCTGAGGTCTACAGCAAACTCGAACCCCGCCTCCGCTCTGCCCGCCCCAACGCTGGCATTCCCGCATCTGGTCCACTCTTTGGCTGGTTGACCTAAAAACACGCCAAAGCAACAAAGCGCCAAATTCTCTACTCAAAGATCCTCAATTTATTATAAAAAGTGCAATAACTCCCGTCATGTCTTCCTCATTCTATTTATCTTCAGGATATCTCACACTTGTTCTTTCTTTCAACAGCCCTTGAAACTTATTATCTTTAGTCGTTCATCATCAAGATTTGCTCTATTCATCAACATGTCCCAGCTCGTTTGGCTTGTCACTGGCTGCTCCTCTGGTTTTGGCACAGAGTTTGTGCACCAGATCCTCTCCCGAGGCGACAAGGTCATCGCAACTGCCCGAAACAGTGCAAGGATTGAACCACTTGCAAGTCAAGGAGCAGCTGTCCTTGAGCTAGATGTCACAGACTCGCAAGACAGCATTGATCAAACCATTGCCAAGGCCTTTGCCATATATGGGCGCATCGATGTGTTGGTTAACAATGCTGGTTTTGTAGCTGCTGGCTCTTGGGAAGATCTCAGGTATTACTTTTACGAACTAATGGCATTGCCGACCTTGCTAACAAGCCTAGTTATGATGAATTTGTTTCCTCCTTCGAAACCAATGTCTTCGGACCAATCAAAGTTACGCGTGCAGTGCTTCCGCATATGAGAGCCAGAAAATCAGGAACTATGGTATTTATTAGTTCCTTATCTGGCTGGGTTGGGCACCAGTTTACTGGAGCTTATGCGGGATCAAAGTTTGCTCTTGAAGGTAAGCTTCAAAATTATGTCTATGAGGGTCTACCTGTCTAACATAAAATCAGGTGTTGTTGAAAGTCTGCATAACGAAACCAAGGCTCTCGGTCTTCGCACGCTTTTGATGGAACCTGGTCGTTTTCGAACAACTCTCTTGTCAACGGGTCACCTTCAGTCAAAGCAGAGTCAAATTCCCGATTATGAATCAACCTCTGAGATTCATCGCAATCACCTTCATGTCGGAGATTTGAAGCAGCCTGGAAACCCAGAAAATTTCGTCGCCATTGTGCTTGACTTGGTCAGACAAGAGGGCTGTGCACAAGGGAAAAGCATCCCGTTTCGTCTTCCTGTTGGGAAAGATGCGGTAGAAGAAATTGGGGCTAAAGTCAAGGATCTTTTGGAGACATTGCAGGAGTGGGACTCTATTATAACAGACACTGACTACTAGTGGGTATACTGAGAGCAATTACTTAAAGTAATTGAATATTATTCGCCTTGAATATTCGCAATCATGCATGTTCTTATTTCCATGTGATGGAGCCGAGTGGGATATCGAGTGGGATATCACGTGCAACAAAAACTCAAATCCATGGAATGGGGATCTGAAGTGCCGTATCCCACTGAATATCCCACTCAATGGGTCTCAATTTACGGCTTGTTCCTCTGATGCTGGGGTCCAAGCTCGCGACTTTGCTCAGTTGCATTGCTATCCCACCAGATATCTTTGTCATAATAAGGTTCAATCCAATGACGGCAAAGCCGCAAGCATGACGAAACATACCTCATAGCAATTGGGGTTGCTTTTACATCATGTTACATTGAAAATTTAAACAAACCCTGCAGACTTGGCATGTATAAGTATGATGCTGCATTCCGTCTCCAAAACAGCTCACCACCAACATCCTCAATCATAATTCATCGAGCATCTTGGATCAACGAAACACAAGTCCAACAATCACCATGCAGTCCAAGATTTCTCTCCTCGGCTTGGCCGTTCAGGCTAGCCTGGCAATCTCAATTCCTCGACCTTGCACTTGTCCATCAATTTCTGGCAACAAGACGATCAATGCTTATCAATTGTATCCCGAAAACGTTGATTTCGATACACGACGTTGTCTTTTGTACACAAGGTTAGTATACTCATGAGCGTTACTCGACATCGCGGGTAAAATCCTGACCTTTATTATAGCGTATTGTACAATGCGACTGCTGTTGCCTGGGACCCCTATCGTGGAGAGATAGTCCATACTTTCAAAGCGCCTGGGCTCAGCGGCAACCCTCTGCTCCATGCAAGCGGCGTACGCGTCGACACCCTGGACCGACTCTCTGTTATCATCGACGCCGGCGCTGCTTTCGATACCGCTGGCCAGAATATCCAGGGCGACAACGAGCTCGTCAAGTTCGACCTTGTAGACAACTCTTTACTGTGGCGAGCGAATCTGACCAAGGCGACCAATGGTGTATATGGCGGTTTCCAAGACAGCGAAAGCGACGATGCTGGTAACACCTATGTTCTCGGCACCTTTCCCAGCAGTTTGATCAAAGTCAGCGCTGATGGAAAGTCGGTTGTCCCGTGGTATCTCGTCGAGCCAGCCAACCATACCATCCACGGCTTCTCGGGAATCTCCCGCAAAGGCGACACACTCTTTGTGACTGATAACACGGATGGTCAGCTTTACAAATTCGACACCAAAGCAGCAAAGGGCAAGCCGGTTCGTGTCCCGACATCGAAGGATGGCAAGGCGCTGGGCCAGAATCTTGACGGCTTGCAGCTGCCCTCGCTTTACGCCGGTACTGTTCTTTTGGTCAGCGATAATGTCAACGGTACTGTTGTGTTGAGATCCAGCAATGGAAAGTGGAAGTCTGCTGAGAACCTCGGAACTATCCCCAATCCTTACGTTAGCCAGGGCGGATTCACCGTTGCATCTGTGCAGATCTCTGATAGTATCTATGCTGTCACAGAGTTCTTTGGCGATGCTATTAATGGAACTCTCCCTGGTAACAGGACAGTTTTCCCCTTGAGGGATATTACAGAAGAGGTAGAAGCTCTACTAAGAGCTTAGTTACTGCAATTAGCCAAGAGCTAGATATGCTTTTACTCTGTGTTATCTTATAGAATTTGAGAAATAAATTACTATTTACAAAGAGGGAATTGATTCCCTTTATCCTTATATCTATGTAAGAACAAAAATATAAAGACTTACCTTTTCATTCTCTCTCGTACAGGCTATCTAAAAGCTCCAGCCCATTAGCCAAAGATTCACATCCATCCATACTTATCAAAGCGTGCTCGCCAAGCTTCAACTTTTACGCGTTTGTAACCAGACGCGGCTGCATCATCAGTGTCGTCGCTATCGTCGAAAGGACGCTTCTTAGCTGTCTTTGTCAACCCGCCACCTTCGCCGTTTGACTTTTTGCCAGAAATCTGAAGCACTGAGATCTGAGTAGTGAGATCTTCACTGGTGGGTTCCGGCAAATCTATCTCCATACCTGCCAAGCTGGATGCTCCATCGCCCTCTGTCTCACCATTTTCAGACCCATCATCTTCCGACCCTTCATCTTCCGACCCTTTATCCTCAGACTCTTCATCCTCAGGCTCTTCATCCTCAGACTCGTCCTCTTCAGACATATCTTCATCAGGGTTGTGCTTTATCTTTGTCCAGTATTTCCAATCCCTAACCTTCTCCCGTTCTTCCCACTGAAGCAACTGTCTCGACTCTTCGCGCATCCTTTCAAAATGTTCCGCTTTGTAGTCATCGAGCCGACTCTGTGCCTCGCGATCTGCGTCCTTGTGTGCCATGTTTGAATACTTGCGCAGAGAAATGTAGTGGAGTGAATATCGCTCTGTATAGTCAAAGGGCTTGAGAATCGAGAAGCTGCTCTCAATTGTAGCAGGGCAGATTGTAAGCAATTCCGAGTCCTTTGGGCGAGGCTTTTGCGGAACACCAGTCAATTCTTCTATTCCGCTGTCAATGGCATAAAAAGCTGGGTTCGGCGTTTATCATTCGCTGTTTCAATTGCAGGATGAGGTTTGTAACCACGTCTCCATCGCGTTCTTCCCTCGAGAGGAGCCTTGAGCGCCCCTTCAAGCCAATTATCATGTGCTGTGTACTCCAACAGATTGTTGTCCTTTAAGAATTGGCCGTATTCATCGTCCAGGCGGTGTTGGATCTCAAGGATACGTCTCTCGGTTTGATGTCCTTTGGGGTCCAAACTGCAGTGCTTGTAATATCGGAGGGCTTGGCTCAAGAAGTCCTCAGGGTCAAGAACCGCGAGAATCTCTTCAATCTTGTTGTCGAGGCTAAGATCTACCGGGACGTGGGCCTTAACACTATGGTAACAATGACTATCTCCATTGAATGCTTCCATGAGATATAGGCTCAGTGAATATGTAAGCTTTTCGCGATACGTAGGATCCATTCTCAGTGCTTGTCGGTTTAGTGTTAACTCTGTATATTGTATAATTTGTTGGTAATTGTTTGTAGCTATTGTGTCTGTGTAGCTATCCGTTTAATCAATTATAAGATGACGGGGTCTGACTATTTATAATACAAGCTAAGCTACACTTTTAGTACATTTCCGTTGAAGTAATAATTACTTTTCTCTAAAATCTTTATCTTTTTATCGTGTTTAAGGTTATAATTAGTAAGAATCTATTTTAGTACACTGCTTTTATTTTACATCCTTTGTCTGTGGCGCTTTATGACTATGTGTATAATCTGTTCAGTCAAACTAAAAGGACTCCATCTTTGTAGGGGTCATTCTAGGGCCGCGCCACTCAGTCTGTCGGTGTTGTTCTTGTTATAGTTCATACTAATTCAGTACTTGAAAGAGTCTCTGTAGTTACTACCAGCTAAAGCACGTGTGTTGTTGCTATATTATTATTGCTATATTAAAAGTAAGGTCATTAACATCCCATCCCTTGCATGAAAGCAAAATTGTCTAGTCAGGCGTGAAGTGGGTTATAAGATAATAGCCCACTGTTTAAGCCTTTGTATGGAAGTTAAAAGCTCGATGGCCTCATAAGGCTAACGGGAAGAAAAAAAAAAGATAATAGCCTCACAGCCTGGTAGAGTGAAGTGTTCCCCCCTAGCAATGTAGCCACTTGTCAGCCTATGGCCGGGCGGTGCACCGTAGCCGTAGTATGGCACATGCCTTCCACTGCCGCATTACAAAGCCTTCTTTTTATTATTCCAGAACCTGGCGTTTCCAACTTTTATCCGTAGTACATACTGACGCAATAAGTTATTTGGGTGCACTGCCAGTAGTCAACCCAAGGGCATAACCCAAGGATTCTCCATACCTCATCTGCAATCCATCAACGTCATCCTATCCTCTCGCGTACGTAGCAGTGATGCGAAGACCACGATTGATGATAGGAGTCTCACTGGATTCGCTCTATGCATAGTAGATGAATTCCGCTCAGAAGCAGAAACTTTCGCCACAGTGGAAATGGCTGAAGACTCACTATAGGAGAATTGGGGAGTGGTAGGAGAGGTGAAATTGGAGCTGATTGCGGCACCTTGTACTTCATTTTACCCCATGCCGCAAGCACATCCTCAGAATGCAGCATATTCGCAGCCGCCAATGTTTGAAGCTTAGGCATCGCCTGGGAACATTGAAGAAGGCCGATATAGTGTAACAAAAGTCCCTGCTGCTCGTGAGCTGCCAGTAGGAAGGACATAAGTTGCCCAATCATCAGGAAGTACGCGAGTCTTGGTGGTCGTTTCGAAAGTGTAGAGGGCTAGTGCAGTGTCAATAGGAGGCGCTGTCCATCAGGAATACCAGTATGTAGCCTGAGGGGTTCGCTGCTTAACACCATTGAATTGCCGGCCTTAGTTGCTATAGTTTCTTGTTATTTACGAAGGTTTAATGCAGGATTGCGGCCTATCTCTACAACTCGATTCACATTAGGTAAATTGAGACTAAGCAATGCCGCAAATTGTGGGTAGTCTAATGAGAAAAGCTAACTCCCAGGATCGGGACTTATCTGCATTCTGAGTGTTGCTAATATGACAACAGCACAGCAGCTCAAAGGTCTGCCCATGCCGAATTACGAAGAGCCAGAGTTGTCAGCGCACGACCAGGCTGCTGAACCTCCAGATACTTTGTATGAGGCTATAATGTCAACCACTGAAGCATATGTCCCGGCGATGGTCAAAAATGTCCCCAAGACAATAATTGTAACGCTCCAGAGCACTCCGATAGACCAAGGAATCGAGCGATCTTGTTTCCCGCGCTTCCAGTTGTCATATAGCCACATGCATCCCATGGGTTGGAATGAGAGTGATGTAGCAAGCAGTGCCCCGATAAGAGAAACGAGCCCACCAAAGATGGGGATACCGCTGGCTATCACATATGCGACAACGGTGATACCAAAAGTACATCCTGTCCAAGATGCCCAGTGGGTGAAGGTATTGGCGGCGAGATGCTTGGAGCCTCGCAAGATACGTACAAAGACATGCTTACTTGCCAGCTAGAGCATCTACGGTTTAGCAACAGTTCGTATACATATTTGACTAGGGACTCACATGGCAAGCCAACATAGTCGTGACGATTAGCCCAGGAAGTGCGATTACGTAGCTGACTCTCTTGATCAAGACACCTGCAGATCCGAGAGCTGGCGATGCAACATACGAGCCACAGAAATAGTACACCACGCAGCCGATTGCAATGTAGCAGGCACTGTGACTGTCTGGCACAGGATCAGAGATCTCGTATAGTGTCTGGGATCCCTCATCTCTGCAGCAATACTGAAAAAGGCCGGGGTGCCTGCATAGGCAAAGATCAACGCACAGATAGCAGACATGGCGTTGGTAAAGCTCGGCTCCTTGAAGAGCTCGTAGTCCGATACCCAGACTGCGTCTTTGGGTGCAGCTGCAGGTCGATCTTGTATACCCACAGCAATTGTAAGTATGATGACTGTGTTTAGGACATTAGCATGGCTCTGTCGGGAGAGAGGTCCGGGCATGTACTAACCAGAAGAGATGACACAGATTAATCCCAGCCAAGCTAACCAACTTAGCTTCCCGAGGGTTCGGATGCTGGCGAAGATGAAACCAGTGACAGCTGCAACAGCGACAAAGACGGCAGTACAAGTTCCATGATTTGAAACGGCATTGAAGCCAATTGACACGCTGAGCATGGCCGATCCGCAGACAAATGTCCAGTCTATATCACCAAGTATCAGTCAAAGTTCAACCACCCTAGTCCTCAAAAACGGGCGGCTTTGACTTACAGAGACCGAATGCAAAGCCAAAGATTTCCTGCCCAGCACGACCAAACATGAGGCCACCCGCATCATCAATACCGTACACTTCACGATGCCGAAGCTTGAAGGTGCCGACTATGTAATCTGACCACGTCGTAATTGCAGCGATAACACATAGACAGATAAGGCCGGGTATCATTCCCAGCGTGTCAAACACAGATGGGATGGACAAGATTCCAAGGCCAAGCTGCGTCTTCATCATCAGACCTGCTGTGCCCACCCAACCGACCTACACATACCATTAATAACCTGGATGATTTGCAGGAAGTGCAAACTCGCATTGCGGTAATTTGGACCATCATTGGTGAGTCTTCCGAAAACAGCATCGTGAGCATGACCAGGGTCATCGTGAACTTCACCAGTAAACACCTGACCCTCCTGGTCATCAACCTTTTCGGTACCAAGCATAGTAGCGATTTATCAGATAATCGACCTTGTGTTCACCTCCCAAATATTAAGAAATAAAGGAAAGCAAACCCGAAATGTGCATTTTGTCACGATGCGAAATTTTCTCCATTTTAGCAGTAATACCTCCGATTCTAACTGCCAAGACCACAGAAGCGGAGCATTCTCACAGTAAATGTCATACAATTGAGCTGTATTGGGGTTTTATAGAGTAATTTATTCTCATAGTCTCAGAGTGAAATCCACCTGGTGAAGAAATTCTGCCGATACCGGATGTTGGAGAATGGTGGGCGAGAGGTTGATTGGTTGGGGTAGTGGGTTATCAATCTGATTTAAACTCAATTGGAGATCTCGTTTGTTCGTTTAGTGCAAGGGGTAGAATTTGTTGACTTTGTCATGTGTTTCAATCGTTTGGCATTGTAGATACTGCGAAGAGGTCTCACATATATGCTTGAAATTTTTGTGGTGAGTAAGTTCTGTATTCTGATTGCTCCAGGTCGGCAGATATTTGTCAATCGGATGAACCGGCTCCAGTGCTGTTGTCCCTGAGTATAGACAGGCAGAGCGAGTCAGTCACAGGTTAATTGAGAACACAATATTGGAGGCACAGATGAGGTGAATTATAAGGCATAATAAATCTCAAATCCGGCGACACCCAAAATATGCTGTGTCTTATCATTATCTGGCTTGGCTCAAGCAGCAGAGTTGTTCCTCATTCCTCTTCGCGTTGTCTTGATGGTATTGTGTGTGATTAGCCCCTAAACCAAGAAGGGAGAGGTCTTGACTTTTCGGATGTTTTGTTCCACCAGTCTATCAGCTTTGAGGCTAAAACTTGAAGACCTCGGCTATGAACCCCAGACTTAAGAGAATGGATAATTCACGAGATGTCTAGAAGTATAATTAAAATGAGATAGGGATATTTTCTCTTAATCTTAACAATAAAAATGCTTTGATCCTAACGTTTTCAGGGATAAGCCTTGCTAACTGCGTCAATATTCTTTCTATGTCTTCCAATGTTTAACGTAATGTTTATGTGCTAATTCAATTACCAATCTTTCTATCAATTTTCTATTCACGACTCCATTTATATATGCAAGATAAACTCATGTTGGGATAGACAGAGAACCTTCGCGATACACAAGTGATCTTTAAATATCCTTCTTCTATTTTTTTAATCATACTTGAGATGCAAAGCTGAAATGCCGAAGCAGACCGCAAGCAAGTTCAGGGTAGGCCAGTACTGCTCTTGTCAATCGAATCGGCCCGATAGCCGGACCAATGACAACACGCTGCAAGGGAGATGGCGAGCGACCGTTGATTGTGCCTACGATAACCTGTCTCGTGACACGGGATGGCATTCGACCTGCCGACCTGATCTAGATTATCAGCCACGTGTTGGTGATGGTTTGCAGCTACAGTGATCGGCCGATGAACCGAAGAGTCGCACAGCCAATTGAGATTAACAAACCGTAGCTAAGCTTCAATAGACAATTCATGACAGGCGTGGACAATGCTTCAACAGAGCTATCACTCGTCATTCTCGGCTCCGGCAGATGAAATCGCGGGGAAATCTGAACCATGGCTCTGGATCTAGACCTTCCAACGGACTTCTCTACCGCGGGCTTCTCGCCGTCGACCCCCTCCCTCATCACGAGTCACGAAACAACCCAAGCTTAGTCTAACTCAATCCAACGTTGTGCAACGGGCGTTTTTCGTGTCGAGCTCTGCGTGCGGGAATTGGCCGAGCGAAAAATCCTTGTTTTTGGAGATGGAGACACTGAGATTGGCTGAGTCTGTTCGAGAGCATTCTGACCCGCTTTATTAGCACGAGAGATTGGCATAACCTTGTTTCTCGTTGGTCAATCACACGTGAGAGTACCCCACCCCCAGAATTGGACTGCGTTGCGGAGAAATTGGGCCTTGAGGAGATTACGTACCAGAAGTGGGAGACTCTTCTCCAAGGTTCTGTGGTGCCATTTGGCGGTGAATTGGGCCATGGACTGACTGAAAACTGGGAATAACCTCCAAGACATATAGACAGAGAACGTTCTACTCATTCATGAAAGCAATTGTATAAAGACTCTGCCGTCTCTTGGTTGCAACCCGTGCCGACGATTGCCATCCTCCCCCCATCTCCCAGCACAAGCTAATACCATTCAGGCAACTGTCCCGCACGCCCAAGTCTAGGCAAACTTCTTAGCCCGTCTCTCCCTCCGGAAACCTGGCCGATCACCTCTCCATCTTCCCCCCCCAGCATTTAATAGAAATATTGGGGCGGTTGCCCATTCTCCATCTTTCCCCAGATCACACTTCCCCGCATCTCTCTCTCCCATCTTTTCTCTTTTTCTTATTCATCCAAAGGAATTTTCGCTCCGTTGATCATGTCGGACGAAAAGGTCTCGGCTGCTGCCCCAGAGGCTCACCTCGATACCTCTGATCCTAGCAAGACTCATCCTGATGTTATCGACCATGCGCGTTCGGCTACCAACAAGGAGCAGAACATGACCCTCATGCAGGGTATCAAGCTGTACCCCAAGGCTGTCGCGTGGAGCATTCTCATCTCGACTTGCATTGTCATGGAAGGATTCGACATTGTCCTTGTCAACAACTTCTGTGAGTTGCGTCGCACAACATGACGCGACTTGGACTGACAGTTGTTGTTTAGATGCTTTCCCTCAGTGGAACAAAAAGTATGGTCAACTCCAGCCTGATGGAACATATCAGGTGTCAGCAGCATGGCAAGCCGGCTTGAGTAATGTATGAGGCAATGAGCCATTAAAAGCTAAGACAAAGCTAACCATCATAGGGTGCCAACGTCGGTTCCATCATCGGTCTCTTCCTCAACGGTTGGCTCTCAGAGCGCTTCGGCTATCGATACACCATCATCGGCTGCATGATCTGGCTCTGCGGCTGCATTACCCTTTTCTTCACCGCCCAGAACGTACAAATGCTCCTCGCCGCCGAAATTCTCTGCGGTCTGCCATGGGGTATCTTCCAGACCATCTGCGTCACCTACGCCTCCGAAGTCTGCCCCATCGCCCTCCGAGGTTATCTCACCACATACGTCAACTTCTGCTGGGGTCTCGGACAGGAAATCGGCATTGGAATCTTGCGATCTATGATCGGCCGAACTGACGAGTGGGCTTATAGAATCCCTTATGGTCTGCAGTGGATCTGGCCTGTGCCTTTGATGGTGGGCTTGTGGCTTGCTCCCGAGTCTCCTTGGTGGCTCGTTCGCAAGGGTCGGGTTGCTGATGCTAAGAAGAGTCTTCTTCGACTTACAAGCCTCAACCGTGAGACTGATTTCGATGCTGATGAGACTGTTGCTATGATGGTTCATACAACTGCCCTCGAGGAGAAGTTGACTGAGGGAAGCTCTTATATCGATTGTTTCAAGGGCGTCAACCGTCGACGAACAGAAATCGTCTGTATGGTTTGGGCCATGCAGAACCTCAGCGGCAACTCCTTTTCTAACTACTCGACCTACTTCCTCGAGCAAGCCGGTATGTCTGCCGAGCACGCCTACTCATTTGCTCTTGGACAATATGCCATCAACATGATTGGTGTCTTTGGTGCCTGGGGTCTGATGTCCTTCGGAATCGGTCGCCGAAGCCTCTACCTTTACGGATTGTGCGGTCTCTGCATTGTCTTGTGCATTCTTGGCTTCCTTGGTCTTGTCCCTGAGGCTGATCGCCAGAAGGGTGCTCTTGCTACTGGAAGCTTGATGATTGGCTGGGCTGTTGTTTACCAGCTCACTGTCGGCTCCGTGGCTTACTCCCTTGTCTCTGAGCTTCCATCTCGACGCCTTCAGATCAAGACTGTCGCTCTTGGCCGTATCTTCTAGTAAGTCTGACCTACAGATGCCAAAAGCGCTCGCAGCTAACCAATCACAGTGGTATTGTTGGTATCGTCAACGCTGTTTTGGCTCCTTACATGCTCAACCCCACCGCTTGGAACTGGAGCAACTACACCGGTTTCTTCTGGGTAAGTCTCGAAACCACTCTTCGTTATGTCCCTTAGCTAACATGCTCAACAGGGCGGTATCTGCTTCCTCTGCGTCATCTACACCTACTTCCGCCTGCCTGAGCCCAATGGCCGAACCTTTGCCGAGTTGGGTGTTCTGTTTGAGAAGGGTATCAGCGCTCGCAAGTTCGCTACCACAAAGGTCGATGTCTTCCACGAGTCTGTCGACGATCACGTTCTCAACAAGCTGAGCAAGGCTGATCAGGCTACTGTCGAGACTGTTGAGCAAGCCCCAGCACACAAGTAGAGATCAAAGGGCTTGAAGCGCCCCGATCAACCCTCCTTGGATAGCCTTTGCTTGCACGTCAACGAGTCAAGACAAGACAGCTTTTGTATACAATAATAACGAAGAAATAATGAGACATTGCGTAATTATACTGATCGTGTGCCATCCTCGGAGAAGCCTGACCTCCTTCCGCTTGTGTAGATCCATGCATACAACCTCAAGCGGAGCTATGTCTCCAAGCGTGACCATCTCTGCCGATCTCTGCCATCATCTCGGCAAATCCGAAAACCCCCACTTCCGCACCACGTTGGCATTTATCACAATTATCCAAGGCCTTGATCTCAAAAGTGTGAGCTAATAGCCAGCAGTCGTCTCATAGTAAATCCTGGGCAAGGCAAAAAAAGGTAGTTCATAACTTTCCTATATATAATATTAGGCTACGGGAAAGTCCAGACGCGACGCGCTCAAGTTTCACTCCTGAGATTGTTGCCTGAAGAGTCGTCCTTCAGTTATACAATCCATTGGTCAACTAAGCAAGAGAAGGAGAAGGCGAGCGAAATGGTATCTGAATCCATTCAATGTCAAGATCAAGACCGTTGAATGGACTGTCGGCGAAAGTGCTCGTAGCCAAGATGCTGTTGGGTCGCCCGCTAGCGTGAGCTAGTCTACCGTCAGGTTTCCAGCAACCGATGGCGATAACGCAAACACCGACACTGCCTTCCACTAATATACACTGGAAGAAGGCGATAGCATCCAAAGTGCAAAGGTAACTCCTAGCACCAAGGTCCAAGTATTAACCATAGCCTCTTAGCCACATGTTGTATTAGCTTGAAGTATTCTGTTTCTGCCTGGTGAAGCTAACCAAGCTGTCAAGCCACTCTTGATGGCCATTCAATATGGGATTTGGCTTCGTAGCCGCGAGTTTAACCCCAGGCTGCCCAATCTGAGACTCCTGCGTCAAGATTCTAGCCACGCCATAATCCAAGTCCTCCACAATCCAAGCATGATAAACATCTAGCTTAGAACTCTCATCCCCATCTACCCATGCTCTCCATGCCAAGCGTCCCGGTGAGCCCGCGCTCGGCGGCACAGACTCCATGACCTCTGCCGGAAAGGGACCAAACCCGAAAGTCGAGAAGCTGAAGCTATCGCCCTTCTTGAGAATGTTGCCGCTGACTGGCGGCGTGATATGACTGCAGTTACTGTAGTACGACTCCCATTGGGTGATATCGGCAAGATAGGCCCAGACTCGGGCGGCTGTGATATCGCGCACAATTACTTCATTGGAGGTATAGTTGTCGGTGGTTCCGGGCAGGAACTTGGTAGGCCAGATGATTGCTGACTGCATTGTGAATAAATGTTAGAGACGAAAGATAAGAAGATGATTAGTAACCTTCGCTTTGAGGGCTGTTAAGTTAAAGAATTCGAATCTTTCTCATGTGCAGTTGTCGAACTTCTAATGTCGGCAATGGGACGTCGGCAATGGCGGCCCAATGAGGACTGATTACAAATCGTCCATATCCACCGCCCATAAATCGTCGGGAATGGCTCAATATACAACTTTGACCAGACTCACAGTAGCTGCGTTGCATTTCTAGACCTTGCAGTTTCAACTCACTGTAAATATTAATGCCTTATACGTAGAACTATCAAACATCGATCTTCTAGTGACCTGAGCTGACATCTGTCCGTAGATTTCGTATTAAGCACATAATGTACTAACTTCCATAATCCATCAAGACGCCCTTATAACCAGTCAAGTGCTTTTCATATAACCCTTGACAAACTCCTCGAGGTTTTCCCCGGGTAACCCTATCTTATCATTCCACAGTCCTTTATCAATAGAATAATTCGCGACACCCCCCTTGCCGTAGATTGCACCAGAGATCTGAGCCAGAGCGCCCATAGAATTTCCATTTATGACCTGTTCAGTGCCACCTTCCCAGAGCTCATCGACCGTTCCATGGGAAACTTGGAATTTGTCTCCCGTGACTTTTTCAAGCGCACTGAGGACGTCGTTCTGGGTCACGGTAAAGCTGTTGACATAGACGTGTTGATTACGTGTAATTTCGAGATTCTTCAAGCTTTTGGCGATTGCCCTCCCAACCTGATCCAGGTTTGTGGCCTCGTAAGCGATGTCACCCCCGTCATAAAGTGTAGCGGTGCGTGCAGGGATGTTAAAGCCACCAAAACCGGGAATGTTGAGGCCCCAGTCAAACATGGCACCTGAAACAATAGCAATCCACGAAAGCTCGCCGTTCTTGGTCTTGATGTAGTCGAGCGTGTCGATCTTGTCTTGGACGAAAGGAATGACCTTCGGCGCTTCTGGACTTGCAGTGTCGACGCCGAACTCGGAGGGGACAAAGACCTTGACGCCGGCTTTGATGGTTGCGTCGACCATGAGCTTCTGGAAGGGCAATATCTGGCCAATGGCTATGCCAGAGGCCGTGCTGACTACAGCATCATGGCCTTTCAAGACCTCGACGAGAGATTCTTCAGAGTAGTCGGTTCTAACAGTGTCGATGCCCTGGGGGAGGGTACTGTTTGATGATTTTCGAGTCAGACCCGTTACTTGAAAACCTTCTTGAAGCAGTGCCTTAACAGCCGACTTGCCAACATTTCCGCTGGCTCCGATAACAGCAACCTTTCTAACTAACGACATGATAGCAGTGTGAAGTGACTGAGAAGGACTGTGACAGTAATCGACAGATTGTATTGTGTGGATGGGTCTTGCTATCTTAATACTAGAGCACAGGCATTGGTATTTATAGCCAGATATTAACTGAACCAGGTGGCGTAGTGAATATTAGAAATAGCACATAAATGATAATGGAAGGCCTTACTTCTCATTCTCCACACCTGCTATATTGCTACTAAGCAGCACTTAACCGCAAACTGATGTAATATGCCGCGACCCGAATCTACATAATAACTAAACACCTCCGTCAAGGCACATATAGAATCTTACAAATAAAAAACTCCCTTCCTGCTTCTGTTGGCGGCTTACTTATTAACGATAAGCCCCTACGCTATACAGTGTTACATGGATCGGCGCTTTTACTAATTACACCGATTTTACAATAACTCATACCCACACGGCGGGCTGTGCAATTAGTATTATGTATTTTCTATGGATCTCCTCTCTTAACTATATAGCCTACTTTATTAAATTTAAAAAAAATAACTATCAATAAAGGGATTTTAATTAAATTTTATTAAACTTAAAATAAAACATATTTAAAAAAATCTTTATATAGCTTAAAGTATCTAAGGTACTTAAAGGGGGTTTTGTATTATTACATAAACACCCTTAAGTAAGGACTTTTAGGCTTAACCTCTAGCCTTAGTAACTCCAAACTCAGAAAGCACCCTACAGGCAAATATGTCTCTCAGAAAAACATCATGCATGGCTTGCGCATTAGCCAAGCGTCGTTGTGACCGTGGTGTGCCAGCATGTAATCGTTGCATCCAGAAAAGCTTGCCATGCTCATATCTATACCAGAGTTCCTGGCAATCAGTGCCAGTTGCTGGGTTATCGCCGAATGGATTAACATGGCCCAATACACCACTCCCGGATCTCTTAGGATCTTCGCAAACCATCCTTGAACAAGAAACTGTACAGGCTGCCGGCTTTCTCAACTCTGGCTTCACATCTATGGATGATTCAATGACTTGGAATTGGGATCATTTGAGTCCACAGGCTGCGGTCGATTTGCCCGTGTCGGAACAATTATTCACTCCGGAAGCTAACTTGTTGAATGGTCTCCCTGAGCCTCGCTTTAACGGAGTTAACAACAACCAAAATGCGAGGCTAGACTTTAGTCCGCGACCAGGTGAATCACCGAGACACCGTCGCAAAGCTTCCTTCCGCCGTTACCGACAAGACGTGCGGAGACCGCAGCACGTTCCTGGCTTTGACACAATACTACAACAAACACACGACATTTAGCCTCGTGGCCGCGACACTAAAACCTGGCAATTTTGCGCGAGAGAACTCATTTCCTTTGTTGATGCATTTGCGACTACGGCAACAAATTCCTCCATCCTGCAGCCAGTCACTTTGGCCAACGACAGTAACGACGCTGAACTTCCCTTGTTGCTTTAAAGAGCTCTTAGTGTCTGTGCCACTTCCTGGAACTGCGGCCTATAAGGTTAAGCTTTATGCTGCAAATACAGATAATAAATAATAATATAATTTTTTTTCCCTAATATAAGCTTTTATCTATAAGCTTTTATAATAACTAATAAATCTTATTATAAGCCTTAGGGTATTATAAAGGGAAAAGACTAAGAGGTATATAAAAAGATATAACCTTAAGTTTATATCTTTATATATATACTATAATATAACTATATAAATAATATATTAGTAATAAAGTAAACTATTATTAGTAATAGCTTAATAAGCTAAAAGGCTTAAAACTATATTTATAATTTTCCTATTAACTTTAATACCTTTAAAAGTATTACTAAATAGTATATTAATTTAAAAAAATATATTTATTACTTTTTAAAGCTAT